GTGTGTTTATTTTTTAAGTAACTGTGACAAGATATAAGAAATATTGTGGACAGAAGAGACAATGACTACTAATTTTTACATGGTATTTCTGTTTATTTCAAATACATGTAAGTTTTATAATTCACTGTTATGTTTATTGGAACATTTTCAGATACTTACTGTCTTATTTGATTTCATCTGTTGAAGAGAAATTGAGAAATTGAGAGAAATTATATACTTACCTGCTTACTTACCTTTAAGGGAAAAATGGACATTAGATTGGAAAGTTGATTTTAAAATGTAAAAGAGGATACATGTTATCATTGGAATGTTTTATATTAAAAAGAACTTTTGTACCTCTGCAAATATTATCGAAAGAAACACAGGTAACACTTTACAATAAGGTACACAAAATTAGAGTAGTTACTGATGAACTAATGAGGAACGAATGAGGAACTAATGAGGAGCAAATGAGTAGTTACTGAGGAACTAAGCTACACAAAATTAGAGTAGTTACTGGGGAACAAATGAGGAAGTCATGAGAAACTAATGAGGAACTAATGAGGAACAAACGAGTAGTTACTGAGAAACTAAGCTACACAAAATAAGAATAGTTACTGAGGAACGAATGAGGAACTAACTATTAGTTAATGGTCAGTAACTGCTCCTCTGAAATTTGATCAGGGGTTACTGAAGAACTGAGGAACTAACTATTAGTTAATGGTCAGTTCTTCAGTAACCCCTGATCAAATTTCAGAGGAGTAGTTACTGAGGAACTAATGAGGAACTAACTATTAGTTAATGGTCAGTTCTTCAGTAACCCCTGATCAAATTTCAGAGGAGTAGTTACTGAGGAACTAATGAGGAACTAACTATTAGTTAATGGTCAGTTCTTCAGTAACCCCTGATCAAATTTCAGAGGAGTAGTTACTGAGGAACTAATGAGGAACTAACTATTAGTTAATGGTCAGTTCTTCAGTAACCCCTGATCAAATTTCAGAGGAGTAGTTACTGAGGAACTAATGAGGAACTAACTATTAGTTAATGGTCAGTTCTTCAGTAACCCCTGATCAAATTTCAGAGGAGTAGTTACTGAGGAACTAATGAGGAACTAACTATTAGTTAATGGTCAGTTCTTCAGTAACCCCTGATCAAATTTCAGAGGAGTAGTTACTGAGGAACTAATGAGGAACTAACTATTAGTTAATGGTCAGTTCTTCAGTAACCCCTGATCAAATTTCAGAGGAGTAGTTACTGAGGAACTAATGAGGAACTAACTATTAGTTAATGGTCAGTTCTTCAGTAACTCATGATCAAATTTCAGAGGAGTAGTTACTGAGGAACTAATGAGGAACTAACTATTAGTTAATGGTCAGTTCTTCAGTAACCCCTGATCAAATTTCAGAGGAGTAGTTACTGAGGAACTAATGATGAACTAACTATTAGTTAATGGTCAGTTCTTCAGTAACCCCTGATCAAATTTCAGAGGAGTAGTTACTGAGGAACTAATGATGAACTAACTATTAGTTAATGGTCAGTTCTTCAGTAACCCCTGATCAAATTTCAGAGGAGTAGTTACTGAGGAACTAATGATGAACTAACTATTAGTTAATGGTCAGTTCTTCAGTAACCCCTGATCAAATTTCAGAGGAGTAGTTACTGAGGAACTAATGATGAACTAACTATTAGTTAATGGTCAGTTCTTCAGTAACCCCTGATCAAATTTCAGAGGAGTAGTTACTGAGGAACTAATGATGAACTAACTATTAGTTAATGGTCAGTTCTTCAGTAACCCCTGATCAAATTTCAGAGGAGTAGTTACTGAGGAACTAATGAAGAACTAACTATTAGTTAATGGTCAGTTCTTCAGTAACCCCTGATCAAATTTCAGAGGAGCAGTTACTGAGGAACAAATGAGGAACTCATGAGAAACTAATGAGGAACGAACGAGTAGTTACTGAGGAACTAAGCTACACAAAATAAGAGTAGTTACTGAGGAACGAATGAGGAACGAATGATGAACTAATGAGTAGTTACTGAGGAACTAAGGTACATAAAATTAGAGTAGTTACTGATGAACTAATGAGGAACTAATGAGGAACGAATGAGTAGTTACTGAGGAACTAAGGTACATAAAATTAGAGTAGTTACTGAGGAACTAATGATGAACTAACTATTAGTTAATGGTCAGTTCTTCAGTAACCCCTGATCAAATTTCAGAGGAGTAGTTACTGAGGAACTAATGAAGAACTAACTATTAGTTAATGGTCAGTTCTTCAGTAACCCCTGATCAAATTTCAGAGGAGCAGTTACTGAGGAACAAATGAGGAACTCATGAGAAACTAATGAGGAACGAACGAGTAGTTACTGAGGAACTAAGCTACACAAAATAAGAGTAGTTACTGAGGAACGAATGAGGAACGAATGATGAACTAATGAGTAGTTACTGAGGAACTAAGGTACATAAAATTAGAGTAGTTACTGATGAACTAATGAGGAACTAATGAGGAACGAATGAGTAGTTACTGAGGAACTAAGGTACATAAAATTAGAGTAGTTACTGAGGAACTAATGATGAACTAACTATTAGTTAATGGTCAGTTCTTCAGTAACCCCTGATCAAATTTCAGAGGAGTAGTTACTGAGGAACTAATGAAGAACTAACTATTAGTTAATGGTCAGTTCTTCAGTAACCCCTGATCAAATTTCAGAGGAGCAGTTACTGAGGAACAAATGAGGAACTCATGAGAAACTAATGAGGAACGAACGAGTAGTTACTGAGGAACTAAGCTACACAAAATAAGAGTAGTTACTGAGGAACGAATGAGGAACGAATGATGAACTAATGAGTAGTTACTGAGGAACTAAGGTACATAAAATTAGAGTAGTTACTGATGAACTAATGAGGAACTAATGAGGAACGAATGAGTAGTTACTGAGGAACTAAGGTACATAAAATTAGAGTAGTTACTGAGGAACTAATGATGAACTAACTATTAGTTAATGGTCAGTTCTTCAGTAACCCCTGATCAAATTTCAGAGGAGTAGTTACTGAGGAACTAATGAAGAACTAACTATTAGTTAATGGTCAGTTCTTCAGTAACCCCTGATCAAATTTCAGAGGAGCAGTTACTGAGGAACAAATGAGGAACTCATGAGAAACTAATGAGGAACGAACGAGTAGTTACTGAGGAACTAAGCTACACAAAATAAGAGTAGTTACTGAGGAACGAATGAGGAACGAATGATGAACTAATGAGTAGTTACTGAGGAACTAAGGTACATAAAATTAGAGTAGTTACTGATGAACTAATGAGGAACTAATGAGGAACGAATGAGTAGTTACTGAGGAACTAAGGTACATAAAATTAGAGTAGTTACTGAGGAACTAATGATGAACTAACTATTAGTTAATGGTCAGTTCTTCAGTAACCCCTGATCAAATTTCAGAGGAGCAGTTACTGAGGAACGAATGAGGAACTAACTATTAATGGTCAGTTCTTCAGTAACTCCTAATCAAATTTCAGAGGAGCAGTTACTGAGGAACTAAGGAGAAACTAACTATTACTTAATCATTACCTGCCTTTTTTGTGTACCCTAAAGTAAAGTGAGACATCAACATGAGGTAATGATTCAGTAGGCCTACTCATTACCTACTCAATAGTTACTCTTTTTGTGTACCCTAAAGTAAAGTGAGACATCAAAATGAGTAGGTAATGATTCCCTACTCATTACCTACACATTTTGATGTCTCACTTTACTTTAGGGTACACAAAAAGGGTAGGTAATGATTAAGTAATAGTTCCTCAGTAACTACTCCTCTGAAATTTGATCAGGAGTTACTGAAGAACTGACCATTAACGAGGCTAATAGTTAGTTCCTCATTCATTCCAAATTTGTTTCATAGTAACTACTTCAAATTTTGTGCACCTCAAACAACTGTACTGTGAACAACGGTGTGATCAGTATACAGTACTTTACACGCAGCCCCCATGATAAATTCTTTAAGCTTAGCCTACCTAAAATGTGACACACTATCATATTTATTTCTAAGGCATCATTGTACAGAATAACATGGATGGTCATATTAATGTGTATGTGGTCTGAAAATAATGAATTAAACTCTTCTCAAGAATCCTGCTGTCTGATTTTTTTTTGTTAAGGAACTAATTGTAAAGATGATGATGACGTAATGAAAGACTACTCATTATGTGTCACTTTACTTTAGGACATAAAAAGGTTAACTAATGGACAGGTTATTGAGTAATGATTCTGTACTGATGAAGTAACTAGTTCACTAATTATCGTGGTAAAGTCATGATTAACCCCTCTATGAAATTTGATCATGAGTTAATGAAGAACTGACCATTAACTAATAGTTAGTTCCTCATTAGTTCCTCAGTAACTACTCCTGTGAAATTTGATCATGAGTTACTGAGGAACTGACCATTAACTAATAGTTAGTTCATCATTAGTTCCTCATTAGTTCCTCAGTAACTACTCTAATTTTGTGTACCTTAGTTCCTCAGTAACTACTCATTAGTTCCTCAGTAACTACTCTAATTTTGTGTACCTTATTGTAAAGTGTTACCGAAACACATTCTCTATGAAGCTGCCAGAGAAGAAGCATCGTGTCCTAGCACCTTTATTGATTTCTCCTCTTTTTGGGTGTTAAATTTTGGAGGCACTGCTGGGATGAATGTGACGAGAGCCAGCTGTCCCTGATAGACGCCCCCGATCATCTTTCAACCCTTCCCATTTAAAGGTGAGGTGGAAAGTTGTGTGTGGTGGTCCAACAACTACGCAGAGACGCTTGCAAGCAAGCTGAGGTCAACCACTGGAGCCAGGAGAGCTGCGTTGTCTGTTCTGCAAGGAGAAGGTTCTGCATCACACTAATGTTGTCCACGGGTCAGAGATTGAAATGGATTCTTGTTATTATTGGAATGTTTTATGTTTAAAAGAACTTCTGTAAATACTTTTGAAAGAAATACATTCTCTGTGAAGCTGCCAGAGAAGAAGCATCATGTCCAAGCACCTTTATTGATTTCTCCCCTTTTCAGGGCGTTACAATAACAAGACAAGGGCAAGCAGCCAGCAGGCGCTGGACTTCAAAGTTGAGTGGAGTCCTGCGGGGATCAGCTTTGAAGGCTTAATGGTTAATGCTGTTTGACAGGCACGTCGGAGGCTCAGTTATCTGTGGGTGTAACTGTGCTGTAAGTAAACAGTCTGGACTCAGATCAATTTTCTCTGACAGAGATGAAAGTTTAGTTTTAATCACCGACTCTGTGACAAGACACAAGTTTCAACCTACAGTGAGGTGGATAACTCAGAGTTTACAATGAACCTGGGTATAAATCCTAGTTGTCCCAGAGTTTTTGAGAGCATAAATCGAGAGATGTTAAACTTTTCAAATGATAATCAGTAAATGTGTGCCTGGAAATCACCCCTTAAACCTGGCAAAAACTGTCAGAGAAATGCAAGACTAAAACGACTAAAAATTTTCGTCGACTAAAACTATGAGGGATAAAAATGACTAAAAGTTGACTAACCCTAACCCTTTTTATCCTAAGAGGAGGACTAAATCTAAAATGGCTATCAAAATGAACACTGCGGGCTCAGGTGGCCAAACACAGAGAAGAAAACTGAATGGGGCTTTCATTAAATTAACTACATTCAATTTATTGAATCAACTCAAAATTTTGAATATTTTGATTAGGTTAATATTGTGATGTTGTACCTTCCTGCACAACAACTTGCATTTGGCACCCTTTCATCTGGGATGTAGGTCTCTGTGGCAAGGGTGACTGCGGTCTGTCTGATGTAGGTGATCTGGTCAACAGGGACAAGGGAAGGCTTCCAGTGTGTGTGTGTTGAGTTACTCAATGAGAAGAAATCCCTGCCATGTCATCTTGCTGCTGCAGTGTCCTGTCCTCTGGCCTGGCCTTTGTACTTGTAGTTATGTAGTGACACAACTTAGTAAGTCACTCAGTGGGTTGTACAGTACTGAAAAACTATTTTTTTTAAAAGGCGGCAGAGCAAATAAATAGGATGTACATTTAAAACATGTTAAGGTGGCAGGTAGATAGTGCTACTGTTGTCAGTGGTACAATATGGTCAATAGCAGCTCACACATCTGATGGTTCAACTCAGTGGTACTCAACCAGGGGTTTAGGGACTCTCAGGGGTCCTACAGGGAGATCCAGAGGGCCCCCAGAAAAATGGGGAATAGTTTATTTTCACCATTTAATTCACTACAGAAGAGAGCCCAATGTGAGAGACAGTGAGATGGTTGACTATACTGATAACAGGTTTCAATTCCTCCACTCAACTGTAGTTGATAACTTTAGAATTTTGGTCTTAATCATATCTAACAACCAAAATCTTTTCAGATGGAGGTCCATGAGGGGAATCTTACCAAGACCAATGTGGATCAATTGACTGGTCCTTAACACAGCAAAGGGTGAGAACTGCTGACAGGGCATCATCATGGCATCAAATAAGAGTTCCACTCATACACAACATCTCATATCTCTATCTTGATTTCATCTCTATACAGTACATGTCATTTGTAATCATTTCAAAGTCTAATTTGAATGATTGTCTTCCATGAAAATAACATTTACTGACAAGCACTTTAAAAAATATGTTACAAGTTAACAAACCATTGTTTGAGGTTTTTTTTTCTTGTTTTTCAGTTAGATCTGTCCTTAAGGAGTCTCTTAAATTAAAAGGTGACAGTGTTAAGCCCAAACTGTATGAGCACAAGTGTTGTTAATCAGCTAGGAATGCTGCAGAGGACAAGGCTACTCATCATGGAGATAAAAAATATTCATTCTTTTGTATTTCGCTCAGCTGTGACAGTATGCTTAAAAACACTAATAAAAACTCTTAAAAACACTGACATACATTTTTACTGTATGATATGCTCTGTAGTGTAAGTAGCAATTTTTTTGACAATGCATAAAAGATCAAATATCAGTTCCATAGTGTTCTTTCTGTCCATAAAAAAGATGGATTTTATTCTGAGACTGTTCCATCATTGAGTGGCTCTAAAGGGGCGTCGAGCAGCTCAAACATATCATTGATGACTTGCCACAGACAGTTCTCCAGAGGAAAGTCATTGTCCACCAGATTGACCAGGAAGTAGTTGTCATGGATGTACTTGATGATCATCCGTGAAGGAGACTCGTCTTCATAGAGCTTGGCCCACTGTTCAATCCACAAGGCAAAGGCCTCATCCTGTGGAAAACATTGAGACAGGTTTGATGAGGGGCCAGTCAGACTGACTAGTCCTAAAACCTGCTGGTGTCAAAAACAATGTGCTTGTGATAACAGTTTAAGTATTAACTCATCAAGGCCAGTATTTATCAGTGTGAGTAGGTAACTCGAGCCAAAGTAAAAACATTTAGCAACTTTCTGAACCTGGGAAATCACTCCCATCTGTGCTGGTATTTCAGGGGTGCCATGACCTGTTAGGAGCTGCAGGAGATGGTGCTGAGGCAGAGATGTTTTGGACACACTTTTTGAATAGAACTTTAAGGTCCTTAGAACCTTGCAATTTTGGTAAAACATCTTGCAACAACTGAGAATTAGAACAGTAATAAATCAATCTTTGATCACTACTAGCACCTTTCAAGAGTTCCCCTTGAAAATGGAAGAGACATTTATTTAAACACTATCCCATTTCCTCCTGGATGTTACTACTTAAGTATCAACCAGTACAAGGCTGAACATTAGTGAATCCCTGCTGTGACATCCACAGGCCTTGGGGTCAGTGTTTTCCTGTATTCCTGCTGCCCCTGCTTTCCTCTTCCAGAGCCTCCTTGATTGCCTGCCCCTCCCACCTCTTTAAGGGATTGGCTCCACCTGTTTGGGGCTTTTAAAAGCTGGGTGAATCCAAGATGGCTCCCTCTTCTCTCTCCCTCCTAGAAGGCTGGTGCCTTAAGTGCAACACACACCGCCGCCGGCGCGGGGCTGTGGCTGTTAAGTGCCGCCCCCAACACACACTGGCAGCGGCGCGCAGCGGCACCGTCAACATGTATTTCCCACTCCAGCCCGCTAGGTGGCTGTACCTACACTAGTTGCCAACGGTTGCCAACTGCTAGTAACAGAAGAAGAAGAGGAACAACTTTGAGGCAACAACAACTTGAATTTCACGGGTGAATTTCTTATCAAAGTCGTCTTATTAAAAATTTGAAACAACCGGAGATGATCCTACGAGACGAGACGTACATAAAAGGCTTTTCTTGCAGTGCCGCCATGAGTGCCGGCCGCGCTGGAAATAGAGCAGTGGGCTGAAGCAGAGCGGCGCGGCGTTTTGACGCGCAGCGTGCGGCGGCGGTGTGTGTTGCACTTTACAGGCACCCTCCTTGGTTTGTTTGGTTTGGGTTGATTATATTGAGTTTAGCTTTGGTTTCCATTTACACATAGCTTGTCTTAGCTTCCACAGACTCATAACACCCAACACCCTCACCACACTACTGATTGCTGACTTAGCCATTAGTTGTCCTTTGAGTATTTCAATAAATTATTTGTTTATTTAAAAGCTCACGGTTCCTACACATTTGGAATTTCAAAATTCCATACCCTAATTTCTAGACTTCTCTGCGTTTTTTGTTTGTTTTTTCTTCAGAGAATATGCAACATCTGAGTAAATATATCATTGTATCATATTTCACATCATATTTCATTATTCTTAATAGGAGATTGTAACCAAGTACCATAATGGCATGCAAATAAAAACTCAGGTAAGTTCAATGTTTGGGCTGAGGCAAAAAGGTTGGGACTCTGGGTGCAAGCAATGCAGTAACGAGATGTCTGTGTTTTTTCCTTTCATGTGGCTCAGAATCGCCTTCTCCTCCATGTTGGCGATGTCAAACAATTTCACACAAAGCTTGCATCTAGCTCTGTGTGTGAATTGGGAATCCTTGGCCAACCAGTATTTATATTCAGTATTGTCAAGCCATCCATCCAGAAACTTGCATCTACCCATTGTGAACCACGTGAAACTTGTCTTCTTGTCGAAGGTGCAGTGTTGGAGTGAAACTTGATACCTGGGGGGCTGGAGGAGGGTCATGGGGCAGCGGACTGGACATACCACTTGTCAATCAGGTAAAAGGGGCGGTATGTTTTCTGAGACGTTTGCTCTCATACAAACTGTGCTTTGCCCTGCATAAAACATGATCCTGATTGATTAAATTATTTTTGGAAATACCTAATTTTTTATTTTAGAAAACAATATTTTAGAACAGTGGTAATAGTCTGGAAACATAAATATTTTTCCATACTTTATTTTTCATTTTCCATACTTTTTAATACCTGGAAATTGATTATTTCCATACTTTTCCATACTTTCCATACTTGTGTAGAAACCCTGAAAGCTGATTCCTGTGTCGACCTCCCTTCTTTGTTATGCTCTCCAACAAACTGGGCATAACACTGCACACTAGCAGGACAATCTCCATCTTACCTTCCAGTACATAAAGCTGTCTGGGTCCACTACAGTAGGCTGAACAATCTCCCTGCCAGGAAAGATCCCCCATGTCACAGCGTTTGGCTGCATGTCAGGGGCATTGGTCAGGTTACGGCCCTGCACACAAAATATTTATTTGTACATTTTAACAATACACACTCACACACAAACATGGGGTGACAGGTGCTCTCTGTTCAAACTTACATGCACATTAACAATGTGGTAGTTGACCCGAGGTTCATACTTCTTCAGTACTTTGAGGAGAGCGTTGACATTTTCACTGGAGGTGAAGAACTCCAGATAGGCCTGTTGGATTAAAAACAGCATTAAGACAGCATATCAACATATCAGACAAAAATACCAATTCAATTCAATTTTATATTTATAAAGCCCAATATAACCTAACAGTCTTTCCACAGAATCCCTCGCTATCGGATCATTATTTGATTACTTTTGATTTCTTTTTACTCGATTACTGTAACTCTCTATTATCAGGTAGCTCTAGTAAGTCCTTAAAAACTCTCCAGCTAATTCAGAATGCAGCAGCACGTGTACTAACAGGAACTAAGAAACAAGATCATATTTCTCCTGTTTTAGCTTCTCTGCACTGGCTCCCTGTAAAATCCAGAATTGAATTTAAAATCCTACTGTTAACTTATAAAGCTCTAAATGGTCAAGCTCCGTCATATCTTAGAGAGCTCATAGTGCCATATTATCCCACCAGAACACTGCGCTCTGAGAATGCAGGGTTACTCGTGGTCCCTAAAGTCTCCAAAAGCAGATCAGGAGCCAGAGCCTTCAGCTATCAGGCTCCTCTCCTGTGGAATCATCTTCCTGTTACGGTCCGGGAGGCAGACACCGTCTCCACATTTAAGACTAGACTTAAGACTTTCCTCTTTGATAAAGCTTATAGTTAGGGCTGGCTCAGGCTTGCCCTGTACCAGCCCCTAGTTAGGCTGACTTAGGCCTAGTCTGCCGGAGGACCCCCTATAATACACCGGGCTCCCTCTCTCTCCCTCTCTCTCTCTCTCTCTCTCTCTCTCTCTCTCTCTCTCTCTCTCTCTCTCACTCTCATCCTATTACTGCATCTTGCTAACTCGGCCATTCTGGATGTCACTAACTCGGCTTCTTCTCCGGAGCCTTTGTGCTCCACTGTCTCTCAGAATAACTCATACCGCAGCGGTGCCTGGACAGTGTGACGTGTGTGGTTGTGCTGCTGCCGTGGTCCTGCCAGATGCCTCCTGCTGCTGCTGCCATCATTAGTCATTAGTCATACTTCTACTGTTATTATACACATATGACTATTGTCACACAAGTATACTGTCAGATATTAATACATACTTTCAACATATTGTACCACAGTAGCCAGAACTATAACTATAATATTATTACTTTCATTAATGTTGTTGTAAGCTACTGTCATTACCTGCATCTCTCTCTCTCTCTCTCTCTCTCTCTCTCTCTCTCTCTCTCTCTCTGCATCTTGCTAACTTGGCCATACTGCATGTCACTAACTCGGCTTCTTCTCTGGAGCCTTTGTGCTCCACTGTCTCACAGATTAACTTATATCACAGTGGTGCCTGGATAGTGTGACGTGTGTGGTTGTGCTGCTGCCGTGGTTCTGCCAGATGCCTCCTGCTGCTGCGGTTATTAGTCATACTTCTACTGTTATTATACACATATGATTATTGTCACATACATATACTATCAGATGTTAATATTTACTTTCAACATATTGTACCACAATAGCCAGAATCATAATTAGAATATTATTACTTTCGTTAATGTTGCTGTAAGCTATTAAAATTATCGTCTGTCCTGCATATCTCTGTGTCTCTGTCTCTCTGTCTCTCTTTCTGTCTCATTGTGACATACTGATTACTTTTAATTTATTATGTTGATCTGTTCTGTACGACATCTATTGCACGTTTGTCCGTCCTGGACGAGGGATCCCTCCTCAGTTGCTCTTTCTGAGGTTTCTACCGTTTTTTTAATGGGGAAAAAAACGGTAGAAACCTCAGGAAGAGCCCTGACTACTGTGGAGCAACTGAGGATGGATCCCTCTTCCAGGAAGGACAGATGTGCAATAGATGTCGTACAGAACAGATCAACATAATAAATTTACAGTGTTCCATATGACAAAATGAGACAAAGAGAGACAGAAAGAGACCGAGAGAGATGTAGGACAGACAGTAATGACAGCTTACAACAACATTAATTAAAGTAATAATATTATTATAATAATTACGGCTATTGTGGAACAATATGTTGTAAGTATATGCCAATATATGATAGTATATGTATGTGACAATAATCATATGTGTATAATAACAGTAGAGGTATGACTAATAACAGCAGCAGTAAGCATTATCAGGCAGGATCACGGCAGCAGCACAACCATGTCACACGATCCAGGCACAGCTGCGATGCGATAGAACCTGCCACACAGTGGAGCACAAAGGCTCCCCAGCAACTACATCTAAAAGGCACAAACACGACAAAAGTGTCCCTACCTTCTGGAAGACATAGCCTCCTGCAGGTCCCCAGCCCACTACAGGGTCTGTGGAGGGTTTGCCATTGATGTTGGGCTGTGAGTTGATGGTGAGGACCCCTCGTCTGTTCACCTTCTCCAATTCATCCTTCAGCAGGTTGGTCTCTGGGGCCAGAGGCTCATCATTCCATGGCAAACAAATCACCTAGCACAAGAAGAAATCTTAGTCTAAGATTAATTTGGTATATTGTCTTCTACTTGACGACAGTTAACGCTACATAACTATGGAACACCTGTTGAGACATTTCACCATTTTGCAATACAAGCTTATTTGCTGTCATTATGAGAGTGAGATGTTCAAAAGGATATCAGTCCCTGTGTGTGTGTGTGTGTGTGTGTGTGTGTGTGTGGTTTGCCTTGCTTAGCATTAAGACTAAAAGCAGGAGGAAATGGTAAGCCTTTGTCCAGAGTTCAAAAATACACCTGCCAACAAGTTTAAAGCTCCCTGGTTAACATGTTATATCTGGTTTGTTTAAACTGCACACACAGCTTTTAAGAGGGAGTTATGTGCTGCATTATGAACAGAGACCAAAACTATACCCTGTGCTCACCAGCCTATCAAAGTTACTGCAATGACTGCTCTATCTGGCAGCCTCGCCTGTAGCCACAGACACTGAACAAAAGTGCATGATGGATGAATAAGTTGTTCACCAAAAACTAGTTGCCCCTAAAATCACAAATGGTTGTTTTCATGTTTTTGTCCGTGTGTAGATTAAATAAACAGATACATTACAATGAATCAGTGAGCTTTAAGCCCAGTTCAGACCAATGATTCATGACGACAACAACAACAACAACAACAACAACAAAACGTTTTAGAACACTGCAGGAAAAGTTGCAGCTATGTCAGCTTGTCAAGACTTCAGTGGCTGATTCTAGAACGCAAGGAAGGTCACCTGTTTCAACAGCCAATCATCTTGTAGCAAAGTCAGCTGGTCAGGTCAGTTTTACACTATTAGGGGACCCACTACAATATTATCACAATATTATATTGTATTATACTATTATTGCAATACGCTGAGTATTGCAATAAAATATAGTGATATATTACCTTTTTTCCAAATGCAAATTATTTCCCAAAAGGAAAACTTTGTCAGCATCAGTTTTACCTCATAAGATAAAGTTTTCAGTCTATTCATCTTACTTTAATCATTTTTATTGCAGCAAAATGTGATGCAAAGCAGACAGACTGACCTATAAGTCATAAAACCTGTCAGAAATGCTGCATAAACCTGACAAACTGTTGGCAGATCTAACATCTAACCCTCTGTGATGCCAGATTAAGCACTTGAGCGATGCAGGTATCCTGCTAACTGAATGGCAACACCCATGTTAGAAGTGTTGTCTGTTAAAATCACAATCCCCCATTGTTGTGCTGCATTTTGTAGGAGGTCTGCAATGTTTGTCCCGGTGCATTCTCGGAACCCATCGGCTGTATTCTGCAGCCGGCTCAAATGTGACTGGTCAATATCACGCGGACTACAAACAGTTTACAACCGGAAACCAGGGCTCTTTCACTCTTCTTCCGGAGGCAAGATCTCCGGGGTTTGCCTACAGACTCTACATTCACTGAATGTAGAGTCTGTAAATAGAGACTAGCTCCGGTGTGACTTTCGTGTACTGCTCTAGTTTGGAGAACGAGAGACAGCAGTCGCCAGTTCTCTGTAAGATAATGTGCCGTTATGGTAACATATAAATCCACTGACCTTGAAGTCCAGGCTTCACAAGTTAATGCCACCTTTCCTACTGTACTCAAAAGATTCCTCAACTTTATGCTTCACTTGTCTGTAGAGCTTGGGTACGGCTGTGTCAGTGAAAAAAAAACATCAGGATGGAGTCACATACCTGGGTTACAGTGTTTTTAGCATGTAACAAAGGTGTTAGTTTTCAACAACACTGTATGGACAGATCTTTGCACATGAAGTAGGTGAAGGACTCTTATTTTCTTAGCTCTCTCAGAGTTGGACAGCAGTTTTGTCAAGCAAAGTGTGTCCGGTGTTGGTTGATCTTTCAGCAGAGCAGGTTTAGCCAAACGTTAGCTTGGCCATCAGCAGCTAACGCTATCTCTGGATGGTGAAGTGTGAGGTGAGTCCTCATGTTTGTAGTGTTCTTATGTGTCATATACAAGACCTCCTTTCATTCTGTGTTAAAAAATCCAAAGTAAGTCCAGATGTTTGATTTAAACGCCAAAGGTACATTTCTGATCTCTTTCCCCGGCGCCTCCATTTTTGTTTTGATGAACTTCCTGCAAAATGCCACTGACTGAGAGCTTTGCTGACCTCACCAGAAAAAAAAAAAACAAACATCAGCATCATCTAGTGGACTGAAAACAGTGAGTGATTTTATTATTTTAGTACCAAAAGTTGTATTAAAATGTGTATTTGCAAAAATTAATGTATATAATAAAAGATAAATAGCCTACTTGGTGCCCATGTATCGATACAATATTGCCACTTTTATCATAGGACAGCTCGAGGATGGCAGGAAAGGACGCAGAAAGAAGGGGAATGACACACAGCAAAGGGCCACAGGTTGAAATCGAATCTGGGCCACTACAAGGACCAACAAACACTTCTAAACTCTTCAGAGCAAACAGCATAGTGGAACTAGCAGGGAAAATTAGTTTTCCTTGTTTACTCTGGCCATTGTTTACATCCTGCCTCAGGCCTGTGTCGTGAGCCGTTACAAACCTGGCTGGCCACATTATTAATGCAGAGCACAAACAACCAGACTTCCTGCTCATTGCTCTTGAGGACTTTAATAGAGCAAATCTCAGCCATAAACTGCCCAAATACTCATAACATGTCAAGTGTCCCACCGGGGACAATAAAACACTAAACTACTGCTGTACAGTAATAAAGGACACCTATCACTCTGTCCCCCATGCCGCTTTTGGACTCTTTGATTACAGTCTGGGTCATCTTCTTCCGACATATTACAGGCACACAGACTAAAATGTGCCAATCCTGCTACTATCTGGATGAACTCCCTGACACTGCGACATCTTATATCAGTGTTTTTGAGGACACGTGTGTTAAGAGGAGGTTAACTGGCAGGGCGGTGGCTATCGTCACAGAACATTGGTCAAAATATACAGCAGGAGAAGAGACGTAGGTCATTTAAGGTGGTTTATTCTCAACATCCAGTGAACATGAAAAGGGGGGAAAACAGACACACATGGATCAGGTCTGCCGCCCCATGTGAAGGTGAAAAGAAAGAGTGAAGGGCAGTGCAGCCTTAAATAGGGGAGTGAGCAGGTGAACTTAATCAGGAGTGCTCAGGTGAACTAAATCAAGGAAATGAGGTGGCAGGCTAGAAACCACCAGTGAGTAATAAGGAAGTGAGACAGGAAGGAAGAAAAAGGTCAACAAAATAAGAGCTTTACAACACGTGTGTGCCAATGAAAAACCTTCTGCACATACAACAATGATAAACCCTTACAGCAAAACTCAGGGCAGTTTCGTCAGGCCAGGGAGGAAACCTGAGAAACAAGTTTTCAGCCAACGGCCAACTGTGGAGAGGCCTGCATGACATTACCTTCCCCCCACACTGTGGCGATGACCCAAATTACTTTATAGTGCATGTTTGATAACACCACCCCCCATGCCCTCCCCATACATGCCATTGGACATGCTTCTGGATGTTTTCCTAGTCTTCCAGCTCTCACTAAAACCCAACATTTTTGCAATATTTTTCCACCATACAGAAGTAAAGAAGGATTTTATCAGTAAAATTTTACATCTAAGGAGGCATTACATGATCATTGACTTGATATCGGCCTAATTCAAAAAATCTGTAATAATGGCTGTATCATAAATAAGACTTTTGTAAAAGTTCTGAGATGTGAAAAAAGAATTATTATCCAGTGGTTGTATACCTCCATGCATCAGTCAAGTTCCTCTTACAGTTTAAATCCATATCTGTGAAAACATGGAGTCTTCACACCCATTGCCCCCCAAAATCCAATAGGTTCATCACTGAGTCGAAGTGAAGGTTTGTGACAAATATCCCTCAAGGTGTCTTCAGATATCACGATCATGAGAATGACACAGATGAGGTCACATAGACCTTGACTTTTGACCTATGACTACCAAAATCTAATTTGCTCATCACTGAGTCCAAGTGGAAATTTATGCCAAATTTGAAGAAATTCCCTGAAGTCATTCTTGAGATGTCGCGCTACACAGACAGCAATGACATAGGTGAACACCACACAAGAGACACACAGGCCATCAGCAGTTTCATTTGAGGAGCATAATCAGTCCAAAACATAGAAAAGGTATCCATCATTTCATCTTTGTCTACCTTGTGTCCTTTGTGGTTTGGTTTGCCTGTGATGTAGCAGGTGAAGACCTGATAGACGCTATCTTCATTCATCAGCTCCTCACCCCACATCTGCAGCAGTGCATCTTTGGATGACTTGCTCTTCAAGTAGAACAGGTAGTAGTCGTTTAACTCTCCAAAAGCTGGAGATGAGGAGTGTCCCCTGAAGACATCAATAACAGGATGCCTTTTAGTCCTGAGAGTAGGCTTCTACATTCTACACAACAGTGGTACATTAACACCAATTTGCACAACACTATATTAATACAAAAATAAAGGAAGTAAAATCATTGATAACAATTCAACATTTATTCAACTGATAAAAATGTATAAGTTAAGACATTAATATTGAAATTTTGTCATTCAAAATGTTTTGAGTTCATGTGGAACCACACCATCTGCCGTTGGGGAAGTCGTCCCAGTCCTGGGTTCTGTAGATGTAGCTCTTGGGCCGGGATGCCCAGAAGATGGGTCGAACATCTTCTACTTTCCGTTTGGGATGGGCACTCACAGCCCAGGGAAGAGGACGCCTAGTAAAGAACACAAGCTCTGAAACTCTGGACCAGTTTGAAGGGAAACTAGAATTATTACCCCATGGTCATATGCTTCCACCCACCAGTCACGTTTCTCTCACAGTTGACATTCATGTCTATGAAAACATTGATACTTCTCACACACCTACAACCCAGCAGCACAGATGATCTATACAATCACCACAGTTTCAAGGTGAACAACCAAGATGAGTGACACCAATTCAGTGTCTGGCCAAATGTCTCCCCTTCTGTTCCTGAGATATGATGTTAAATAATGGCCAGAAAAGTGTTTTATGTTGGATATAAAATATCATTACTTCATTATTTTATCCTATTAGACATTTGTGTTAAGTTTTGTCATAATTAGCATAGGGATTCGTGAGTTATTGCCAAAAACCTGACTTTGACCTTTGACCACCAAAATGTATTCAATACAGTCTTTAGTCCAAGTGCATGTTTGTTTTAATTTTGAAGAAATTCCTTTAAGGTGTTCTGGAGCTATCATATTCACAAGAATGGGATGGATGTAAGTTTATCATTGAGTCCAAGTGAACGTTTCTGCAAAATCAGAAAAATTCCTTCAAGGTGTTCTTGAGATATCGCATTCACAAGAAAGAGACAGATGAGGTAACGTGACCCTGAACTTTGACCTATGACCACCAAAATTTGATCAGTTTATTGATGAGTTCAAGGAAACATTAGTGCAGAATTTTAGGAAATTTCCTCAAGGTGTTTTTGTGACATAATGCCTCCGGCTATGGCTATCGCTGGTGCGTTGGTATAACAAGAAAACAAAGAGCAGGAGCCTGTTCTACTAAACAAGGTCCGGTCCCTGTTCTCTGACAAATCTGCCTTCACTAACCTAAATAAATTTACCAGACTATCTATGAGCTTGTGCATGTGAACCAGGTGGGTTTGTAACAAAGAGCAAATCATATGCTACATTCGGGATCCAGACCTGCGTGTTTGATTAATTATGAAAATATTGGATCTTAAGTTAATTTCCTGCAGCAGTAAAAGTTACAATAATTAACGGCAGTGGTAGAATATAAAATACAGCAATACAAACTGAAGAAACTTATAACCAACAATGAAGGTAGTATGCTACAAATCAGGGAATAAATACTCAGTAGCCTTGAATGAAAAAGTAATGCAACACTAGGATTTGTGTTGTTCATTATAATACGTTTTCCTTTAAAAAGGAAAATGTACTATAATGAATAATTGGAACATGCAATCCTTAACATTATAACTATGCTGTTTGTGTTGTTGATGCACACAGGGGGACTGTGAAAATGTGTTGTCAATTATCCAGCTGCTGTACAGGTTATGTTTTATTACCAGAGTGGGACAATGATTGAACTTCTAACAATTTACTATGTTTCCAGTTGGTACATTTACATGACATTAGAGAACATCAATTTATTGTGTTAGTCCAACTAAAACTGGACTTTTAAAATACACGTAAACAGTATGTTAGTCTGACTGAAATTATACTAAATCGAATTTCTCAAGTTGGACTAACACATCCAGATAATGTGATTGGGAGTCGAATTCCTCCTGCATGTATTCAAGTCAAATAGCATTAAAGGCATAACAGAAGAAGAAGCTGGTAACAACATGATGACGTCTACATCCAGAGCAGAGCATGTGAGTGGAGCGGGAGGATTTTGTGTTGAGCGAGGAGTGTTGTTTTTTTTTTTTTTTTTTTTTTTTAAAAAAAGGTGGAGCGGAGCCTTATCTCTCGCTCCAATTTCGCTCCGGTCGCTCATGCCCCACCCAGAATGCATCTTTGCACCTGGGCATACCCACACTATTTTCTTTCAAAACTAACTACTATTACTGTGTACTTCAGAAAAGAAACTGAGAAGCAGCGGTACCTTGGAGAACAGTCCCTAACTGCGGGGAGAGGCGAGAGGACTTCCCCAGAGGTCGGCTGCTTAACCTGGTCCGTCTCCTCCACACTTTGACTTATTTCCACCCTGCCAGCGGTACCGTGTAGAACGGTCCCTAACTGCGGGGAGAGGGCTTCCCCGGAGAATCTACCAGGCTTATGTTTTATTTGTGAATAGAAGATTACAGGTTAGGGTAGTACGACGCAGTTTTTTTGAGCAGAGTGGTGAGCGAGTGGATCGGGATAAAATTTATGATGGAGCGGAGCGAAGAATGCGCAGAACCAAGCAGAGCGGACAAGTGGTGCAAAGTGGCAGGTCTGTGAGCGAGGAGCGGAAATTTTCACCCGCTCTGCTCCGCTCACATGCTCTGATCCAGAGCTATGCGTTTTTGGACAGACGAAATGTACAGAGCTGGAAAGTTGTCCATCATGGTACCAGTTTGCTACTAGTTAACAGTAGCTCACTTGTTTGTCGATTGTTTGGTCTGTGACATAAAAGATCAACTGGAAAAAGGTCCGATACTGACAAGCTGAAAGGGGGCATATCGCCACCTATCATAGCAGAGTCAGACATACTACTTCGGTCAATAAATCAAATCCCTCCTGTGCTTGTATACTGGGACAAGGACAGTAGTCAATTAAATGGCCTCGTCGAGCTATAACGAAAGTTAACTATGGTTCTATGAATCCTGGATGACCGCCAGAGGTGGTGCTTTAAGCACTGAATGTCTCCATCTCGCGCATGCGCAGTTCAAGTATCTATACCAACAAAGTCACCTGTGACCCCTGATAACCTATATCTCCCGGTGACATCAGAGGATCTGTTCCTGCAGAATCTTTTCGCGAAACCACAACAATTCTGAGTGACAGAACACTCTGGCGGTCATCCAGGATTCATATAGAACCGTAGTTACATATGTAACTTTCGTTCTATTTCGGCAATGGGGAGTGGCAACATTCACCCACTAGAACCTGGAGAAGGTACTCTGTGAAGCCCATGATGCCGCAGCACATATGGCCTCCAGACTCATAGCTGCAGACGGTGAGGGTCGGGATGCCAAATTTACGGATTTGACCCGGTTCCGCTCTCCAGGGAGATACATTGCACTCCGGCTGGCTAGGCGGGGGCCCGCCCACATCAAGAGATCCCGGGACACCTGCAACAACCGTGCAGACCTGGTGCTCCCCTGGTGGTTTATGTGAGAGACGGCTGAGACGTTGTCTGTCTGTACAAGCACATGCCTCCCTCTCAGATATGGAATGATGTACCTGAGTGCCATGTGCACTGCCCGTAGCTCCAGCACATTGATATGCTCTGTGCAATCCCGAGCAGACCACAGCCCCTGAGCTGTTCGCACGCTGCACCCCATCCTGAGAGGGAGGCATCTGTTATAATGGCCTCTTGACAGGATGGAATGGAGACATGGCCTGAAGCAGATATGACTGCTCTCTCCATGGAGCCAGAGCAAGGAGGCAATGCCGTGACACCTTCAATTTCCTGTGCCGGTGCCATTTGGCATCCAAGTGGAAGCTGTTCAGCCACCTCTGAAGGGGGCGTAGTGACAGCAAAGCTAAGGGAATCACAGTTGCAGCAGCCGTCAGCTTTCCATGGAGGCGCATAAACTGGAGATAGTGTAGCCACCTGTCCTCTCGGTAGAGGGGAGGGAGGCGGAGGATATCGTCCACCTGGTGAGGCGACGGACAGGCCTTCATGGTGATCGTGTTCAGATCCACCCTCAGAAAAATTGTACTTTGTGAGGGAACCAGGCAACTCTTTTTGAGATTGACCCTGAGACCCAGCTGGGACACATGAGAGAGGAGCAGCGCCGTGTCCAGGGCCACCTGAGACTGGGATGGTGCACAGATGAGCCAGTCATCTAGGTATGGCAGGATCTTCCTGCCCCGCGACTGTAGTGGTGATAGGGCTGCTGCCACGCACCTGGTGAACACCCGTGGAGAAAATGAAAGGCCAAATGGGAGCACCCTGAACTGAAATTGACAGCCTTGAAAGGCAAACCGCAGGAATTGCCTGTGGTGTGGCATAATGAGCACATGAAAGTAAGCATCCTCCAGGTCGATTGATGTAAACCACTCCCCTCTGGCAACAGTACGCAGAACCTCTGCAGTACTGAGCATGTGGAACTTCAAGACCTTCAGGAACCAGTTGAGTCCCCTTAGGTCGAGGATAGGGCGGAGTCCGCTGTCTCTTTTTTCCACAAGAAAGTAGGTCGAATAGAACCCCCCGGGTTGCAACAGGGGATCTATCGGCTTGATGGCACCCTTGTCCAGGAGGGCTAACAACTCCTGGTTCAGGGTCTGGATTTTTGCCGGGTCGCGTATGATGGTCATATTGACCCGGCCAAAGACTGGGGGCCGGCATCGGAAATGAAGTTTGTACCCTTGGGTTAAGTTGGAAATCACCCAAGGGTCCGTGGTGGAAGCAGCCCAGTAACTGAAATGCTGCTGGGAAAAAAAGCCGACGACCGGCCCAGGGCCCTCAATGCCCGGCCCCCCGGCCTCTAGAGGCTCTGGGGGAGCGACGGGCAGCATAAAAGGTCTGAGGTTGTCTAGAGGGCAGTTGCTCAGGGACACGAAAGTCCTGGGCCCCCACTGAGCAGGCTGCTTAGCCAGGGGCTGAGACCTAAGGTAGCCACTGGGGTAAGTCTGTGGATGAGAGCAGCGCTGGGGGGCAGCCGAAGAACCCCTAGGCCTGCTGGGAGGAGGCACACTTCTGTGAAGCCCAGAAAGCTGCTGCATCATAGGCTTTGGAGAGCAGGTCATCTGTGACCCAACACTGGGGTGCGAGGACACCTTGCATCTGGCCTCAGAGCCTCATCAGGTGAGACAATGAGAGCAGCATCCTGCATGGCTGCCAGGGTTCAGCCATCGGATGTTGCATGAGAGAGGGCTCCAGTATCCCTCCAGCATGCATGCAACTCTCTCAAGTATTCATCCGACGGAGGCACAGTAGAGGTGGCAGGGGCTGGACCACGCCTGAAAAAAGCACTGGCAGGAGCCGGCTGAGCTTGTGGAACATCCAACTGAAGGCGGGCCAGGGCCATACGAATGATGGCTCCCACAGAGTTCAATCAATCAATTTTATTTATAAAGCCCAATATCACAAATCACAGTTTGCCTCACAGGGCTTTACAGCATACGACATCCCTCTGTCCTTAGGACCCTAGTTAATTATACACACCTATGCTGGGAGCGGGAGCACTGCCTTCACCAACCAAGGGTAGATTGCTGTGGCTATAAACACAAAAATTGGCACAACGGAGTTGCCACCAAAATGTATAAATTAAAGCAGGCCGAAAGAAAACGCCGGTGATAACTATGAAATCAAGCAAACACAGCTAACTCTTTCTATAGTTAATAATACACACCTATGCTGGGAGAGGGAGCAAGAGCACTGCCTTTACCAACAAAGGTTAGATTGCTGTGGCTATAAACACAAAAACTGGCACAACCGAGTTGCCACCAAAATGTATAAATTAAAGCAGGCCGAGCGAAAACGCCAGTGATAGCTATCAAAATAAAGCAAGCACAGCTACTAGTTAGCTCAAGTGGGCACAATGCTAACTGCTAAGACAGGCAAATAAAGTACGTTAAATAACACTACAAATGTCGGGAGAGGGAGCGAGTACACTGCCTTCACCATCAATTAGTTAGCGTTACACATAATAAGAAAAAACTTAATAAAGTAAACTTATCACTAAGCTTGGTTAACCAGCTGTAGAAACCAACCGCTTCTAGGATGATTATCTGAAGGAGAGTCCATGGCAAACCGCAACAATCCTCTCATCAGAGTGTTAGCTTGTCGCAGCCCTCGGAGGGCGAGCAGCTCGCAACTCCGACAAAGTTGTCACAAGGCTACCCGTGATGAACAGCAGTGAAACAACGTTGAAATTTAAGCTTTTAGCTAGAGCTCAGTGACGTGCAGTCCACCTGTGAAAGCGAGAAGATGAACAGGAACAGATCCTCTGATGTCACCGGGAGATATAGGTTATCCGGGGTCATCAGGGGTCACAGGTGACTTTGTTGGTATAGATACTTGACCTGCGCATGCGCGAGATGGAGACATTCAGTGCTTAAAGCACTGCCTCTGGCGGTCAGGAAGGATGAAATAGAACTGTAGTTTCGCTTAACTGTGCATGAAGCTTAACAGTGATGCAGTCTTTCTTCTGGGTAATAATGACATCATCACTCTGCTTTGTTGTACTAGTACTATTTTTCCAACACTATGATCCTGCAGGAAATTACTTTTTTCTGCTTTTTACCTTTCTACAGCTGATAGGAAGCGATTCTTTGCTATTTTGTCCCTAAAACCCCACAACTACTTCAGCCCTAATGTGTTGTTAGCAGGCAGAGTGACGACTGACCTGGGGTCCTCTATCCACAGGCCCAGCTGTCTGAGCACCTCCATGGTGGCAACCTCTCGATTCAGTGTGTAGAAGTGGAGGCCTGGTACCATGCCACTGTCCAATAGCACACGGCACATCTCCACCGCCTGTTGGATTCCATAGTTACGGATAGCAGCATCATTGTCTTTGATGGGCTCGATGACACTGGTAATCTCCTCTGGTACCTCCAGCTTCGACAGCTTAACAAGCTGACGCAGAGACTGGTAACCCTGGAGAGAAACGGATTAAAGTCCAGCTTTATCCAATTGGATGGTCTATTTGAAATTATTTGATATTAATACACAGTTCTGCGATGAGCACTAAATTTGGAACAAGCTTAGCTAACTTTAAAAGGGACAGTTCACTCCAAAATCAAAAAAACATATTTTCCTCTCACCTGTAATGCTTTCAGTCTAGATAGTTTTGGTGTGAGTTACTGAGTGTTGGAGATATCAGCCATAGAGATGTCTGTCTTCTCTCCAGAATAATGGAACTAGATGGCTGTAGAAACTAGCCTATTACTTAGCCACAGAGATGTTTAACCCCAGAGTGACCTGGTTGACGCACCTGATTTTAGTTTGATTTACTGTATGCTGTGTTGCTTCTGAATTGAATCCACAGGGTGTTCTTGGTTTCAGCAAAAACAATTTATTTCATCCACAGGAGTGTGAACAACGTCCATTTAGTTCCAAAAGAGACCAAACACTGCATACGGCGTAACAAACATTTTAGCGCCGTAGCAGTCAGAAACCCATTGCCCTTCCCAGGTCAAACACCTGACAGCATCAGTAACTCTCCTACCTTTACACCTGAGCATGAGAGCATCACAGCAACACCCCATGTTCAAAACAGTGAACTATAAATTAAACCCTGGATTATTTCACAAACATATTTGGCTGCTACAATGGCACTCAGCTTGTGGTGCTCTGAGTACCAAAACAAAAACTCAGGCAGACATTTCTACAGCAGATACCTCCAACATTCAGCAACTCACACTAAAACAATCTAGACTAATACATTTCACAGCAGGTAACAGGAAATATATGCATTTTGGATTCGGATTGGGATTAAAAACTGATCCAAGATTCAGCTTTTTCTGAACTGGGGACACAGCTTTTGTCCCCAGTGACTCCGCACGCACGCACGCACGCACGCACGCACGCACGCACGCACGCACTGTATAGTGTATGTCCACTAACTGTACGATAGTCCTGCCATTGTTAGGTAAAGGAAAACTGCAAAGTGACCTTGCTTGATTAACAAATATTGTGTGGAGGGCCATATACATTTTGAGAGACACGCCATGGGCCGTTTAAAATGGGTTTGCAGACCACATTTGGCCCCGAGTCGGACTTTGGACATGCCAACTCTAAACACTGTAAGATCTAATGACAATGGTACAGTTGTGAGCTATCATGAATTGAGGGATTCCACTCTGCTTCATCTGCCCTTGTACTGCTCAGATGTGGTAGCTCTGGTACCCTGCTGAATGTTGCTCCACGTCGAAAAGTCCACTATGGGCATGGGGAAAGGTGCTCCGACTGAGTACTCATTGATAACAATTGGCTGATATTCGTTCTAAATAGTTGGATCAGTGGTCTCTATAAAGGCCAATCAGATGATGCAAAACACATGCAATAATTTCTCTATGCCCAGCTAAAATTGCTTCACTGGTCTGGCAGCTCTGACAAACTGTAGCTCATGCTGAACATTCACTGTTAGATTCACAGTTCACTGCTAACCTGATGTCCAGCTCACCTGCCTGTCCTTAGTGCAGACACACTGGCTCTCCCCTTATTTGCCACTTATACACCACACTAAACTCTAATTTAGAGGCTGTGATGTACTCTGCTGTTTTCTGACAGTGTTTACATTTAGTTTTGTTTGTCCTGTAAAGTGCCCAGGGGTGTTGTGCTATTTAAGCACCAGCACGCACCTATGACGCATGTGTATACATGACAGTTGGCTCATTTAGAAGATTATGTAACCACTGTTCCTACAAAGTTTACAAACATTATTCAACTTAACTGACCCACAAACAAAGTAACAAACTTTAATTTCATTAAAGTAAAATTCCTGTGCTATTTTTATGTTTTTATTGGGGGATACATGTTCTAAATATTGAAAACATGTTCCCTGCGTGCCCCCTGAAATTGACACCAATGCTCCACTGGGGAGACATGGAGGCCAGCGGTGCTTTGGTTGTGTGGTTACCTGTGCTGTAATGTTGTGTGCATCGTAGCCATGGTATTTAAAGCCACTCAAAACTGATAAATAATGCATGGAAAACACCATTATCAAAACTTTAAGCTTTAACTCACTCCCTGCAGTCTCTTAAATTTAATTCACTGTCAAGAATAGCTACATTATAGCTGCTGCACAGCAGTGGGTCAGTTAAATTGAGTGAGTTAAATTTTTAATTTAATTTAATTTAATTTAATTTAATTTAATTTATTTATTTATTTTTTTTTTAAAGTCATATTCTTACTGTGGTTGGCATTTCTGCTGGCAGAGGGCTGGCGTGATTTACCTCCAATTCCTCGGATCCAGTACAGCAGGGAATTCCTCCTTCAATGGAGTGGCCGTCTGGATCTCAAACCTCCCTCGGATCTAACCACCTCGGTGTCTGATTTATTTGATTTTAACCAGGGTCAAAAGATATTTTCCAGCGAGCCTCACAGGAGAGTGAGGAAACGCGGAAGGAGAGTTAAGCGTCAGCCTCTGTCTCATACCCCTCTGTGCTCTATTATCTTAATAAATGCCCAGTCTCTTCGTAACAAAACGGACGAACTTCAAGCACATGTACACTTCTGTCATGAGTTCAGAGACGCATGTATTTTGGCCGTGACGGAGACTTGGTTGGCAGAGAAGGACCTGGACTCAGAGCTGGTCATTGACAGATTCGGGGCGCCTTTACACACGGATCAAGATGCCCAAACGACTGGCAAGACACGCGGAGGTGGGGTATGTCTCTACATTAATGAACGCTGGTGTAAAACTGTGGTGAGAGAGAGTCTGTGTACTAAGGACATGGAATTACTGACAGTGTCTTTGCGTCTTCATTACCTGCCATGGGAGTGTTACTGTGGTTTACATTCACCCCAATGCGAATAAGAGTGACGCTGCGGAGACCCTCTCTAATGTTACGCACAGACTTCAGTCTCTGTCCCCCGATGCTCCCAACATTATACTTGGGGACTTTAATAACTGCACCATGCTGAAGTCTCTAAGGAACTTTTATCAATACGTCACATGCCCGACGAGATATAATAAGACTCTGGACTTGTGCTTTCGGTCAGTTAAAGGCACGGACAAATCCATACCACTACCTCCGCTGAGCACAGCTGACCACAACTGCGTGCACCTTATGCCGGTGTACCGCACTGCTCTGCAGAGGGGAAAAGTGATCACTAAGCGGGTTAAGATCTGGACAGAGGATTCCTCACTGACTCTGCAGGGATGCATGGACAGCACTGACTGGAATATTTTTGTGGACTCTTGAAGGGACATTGATGAATTAGCAGATGTTGTCAGTTCATGGGCGTCATGTTGTGAAGAGATTGTGCTTCCTGATAAAATTGTAAAAATTTACCCTAACAGCAGGCCCTGGGTTAGTAAGTTCTTGAGGATTTTGTTGAACAAAAAGAGACAAGCCTTTAAACAGGGTAAACTCTCTGAATTTAAGAGACTGCAAAAAGAAGTGAAATTTGAGGTTAGGAGAGCCAAACAGATATATAAAGAAAAAGTGGAGGACAAACTTAGCAGCAATAGCCTTGGTTCAGCATGGGATGTAATGAAAACTATGACTGGTCTGCAAGATTGTAAATGCAGTAAAAAAGTGGTTTTAGATTGTTTTGACAGTAAGTCACTGGCTGATAAGCTCAGTCGGTTTTATCTTAGGTTTGATGTTAATGATTTTTCTAAGGAATCTGAATTTTTAAAGGCCAATCTCTCCAACTCTTCTCCTGTCACTGCATTCGATGAACGCTCTGTAGTTAACATCTTCAAGCATTGCAAACGTAAGACTAGCCCTGGCCCTGATAACATTGGGAGCCATTTGCTTTCCAGTTGCTAGGTCCCATTTTTTATTGAATTTTTATGTTATCACTTTGTCAGCAGAGGGTTCCACAAATATGGAAACAGTCCATTATAGTCCCTGTTGCTAAAAACAACCATCCCAAGGTTCCAAATGACTATAGGCCAGTTGCTCTTACTTCCCTGGTCATGAAGTCATTTGAGAAACTGATAAAACATGAACTTCTGGTTAATACACAACATCTCCTTGACCCCCTTCAGTTTGCATATAGGATGGGGCGGGGCGTTCAGGATGCTTCCATCACATTGCTAGATCTTTTATTTAAACACTTGGAGGGCAGCAAAGTGCTAAGCTCCTATTTGTGAACTTCTCGTCAGTGTTCAACACCATCCAGCCACACCTGTTGGTGGATAGGCTTCTTAACAACTTTGGTGTTGACTCCAGTCTGGCTGGCTGGATTCTGGACTTCCTCTCTAATAGATCTCAGAGGGTGAATGGGTGTATGTCAGGAGTGATGTCTTCATCCACTGGCTCACCTCAAGGGTGTGTCCTCTCACCACTCCTTTACATCTTGTACACTGATGACTGTAGGAGCCAGTTTTTATACAGACACATCTTGAAGTTCGCAGATGACACAGTTATTGTTAGTCTCCTGCATGATAATGAATCTAGCCATGGCCCTGTGATTGACTACTTTTTAAACTGGTGTAAAAACTCTTTTCTTAATCTTAATGTATCTAAGACAAAGGACATATGCATTGACTTTAGACGCCATGCTCCTGCAACTCAGTGCACTGTTATTGATGGCCAAGAGGTGGAATCTGTTGTCAAATACAAATATCTTGGGTCCATCATTGATAATAAGCTCACCTTTGAGGATAACACGGAAATGATTTGCAAAAAAGGCCAACAACGACTTTTTTGTTTAAGGAAACTTGCCAAATGTCACATTGACAAAACCCTGATGACCCTTTTTTTTTTTCTTTTTTTTTTAAACAAATCTTACATTGAATCAGTTTTGACATTTTCTTTTATCTGTTGGTTTGGCGGTTTGAACACTAAAAACAAGAATGCTCTGTCAAAAATTGTTACTATTAGCAGCAAAATCATCGGTGTCCAGCAGAGTATAATAGTCAGGTGGTGAAGAGGGCAAAGTCCATTCTCTCAGACCATTCTCACCCTCTTCATCAGGAGTTTCAGTCCCTCCCCTCTGGTAACTGTTTCAGATTCCCCTCAGTTAAGTCTAACAGATACAAACACTCATACATTCCCTCACCCATCACCCTCCTTAATGCAGGGAAAAGGAGGTGACTTATAGCCTCATACATGCACATAGTTATATTTATTTACTTATTTATTGCTGTTTTTGTATTACACTGTGGATAATGTTGTTTGTAAGATTTGACTCAGCTGTCCATTTTTAACTATGGAGATGGCAGAACTGTTGTTGTTGTTGCTGTTGTTGTTGTTTTTGGCATTGTGACTAGCACAAGAGTGTGTTTCCTTGTGTGGTTTGTTTTTCTGCCTATCATCGATGTAGTGCTGTTGTGCTTGTTCTGGTGTCTGTTTCTTTGTCTTTCTTTTTATGTCAGTACCATGCTGCAGCACAAATTGCCCACTCAGGGACAATAAAGTTTAACTTGACTTGACTTAAACTAATTCCTACAGCAAGAGCACAATTAACCCCTTAAAATTAGGCCACTGGCAAAACTTTTTGACAATGTCCGTGCCATTTTAAAAAGCGAATCCCTGTTCAAACTTTCCCAAACCACCTCATTTTCATGTAAACTCTTATCCAGTAGTTCATTAATCCACCTACTGTTATTCACCCTACTAATACGTGATTAATTAGCTGTACAAATACTGTACAGTCTTGTAAATATAGTATGCCAATGTTTGTCTGTCACTTTATTTTATTTCACCTAATGAGTGAAACTGAGCCACTTACCTATAGTCAAATAAATATGATCTTTATAGTACATTAATGTGTGTATAAGAGAGAGAGAGAGAGAGAGAGAGAGAGAAAGAACTAAAGGGGAATTTGAGCTATGAGGAATATGTCTAACAATCCTTGATATCATAATGTCATAACAAATTAAAATGTAGCGCAATATCATAAAGTCAGCTTACTGGTCCTGCTGAGTAAAATGTGTAAAGTGAGTGAGTAAAAGCACAAACAAAGGGAATGATGACCAAAACAACAAATAAAAGACAACACAATGAACACAATTTTCACAGAGTTTTGCAGTATGACCCCTCAACAATCAACCTGGGACTTCTTCATGATAATGACAGCAGTATTCCTGTTCTTGGAAGCATCAGTAAATTACCTGAATGGGGAAGATTCCAGGTAGGATGGGACATGTGATACCAATTGCCCTGCAGTCATCCAGGAACTTGAGGAACGTGTCCGCCCTGAAGAACAGTTGGGTGATGACAAAGTCTGCTCCAGCATCCACCTTCTCCTTTAGGCGTCTGAGATCCTCCTCATAGCTCTCTGCCTCAGGGTGGCCTGTAGGGTAACCTGAACATACAAGCATATTTAAATTACTGACTGATACTTAAAATGGAGTTTCACTTAAACTGCCTTCTACTGATCTGGAAGCTGAAAACATACCGGCAACACAGACGTCAAAGTAATCATCAAACTCTGATCGGATATGTTTAACAAGGTCGATGGCGTAGTTGAAGCCTCCCTCCTCTTCCTCCCAGTCTGTTCCCACTGGGTCTATGGAGATATCAGAATATCACACCTTAGTTGGCAGCCATATGTAATGAGCATCTCCAATACTGTATTGCCCCACTTCCACTTCATGTTTCAGCTAAACTCGACTCACTATTGGAATCAGGTCCTTTTCTCCAATTTGTTTTCCACTGCAGATAGCCCCCCTTAAGTGTAGGAGGGATTATCAGCTGACTGCCATAGTGATGCTGTGTGAAACTGCCGTGACATCATCTCCAAAGAAGTCAAGGTGAGTAAAGCCATGCTGTGACACAACAGCAGGATCAGAATTTGAAAAGCCTGATACATTTTCCAGTACTTTGTTTGGTTATATGAGCTGTCATAAATGACCCATTTAACTCTGCTAAAACACCCAAAGCAGTGTGATTACATGAACAGTCAGTAAACCTAAAACGTGTCTAAAAGAAATGAAACAGCAGTGTGCCTTTTAACTAGGGATGCCCCAGTCTGATCTCAAATATCGGTACTGGTTGATCAAGTCATTTTTTAACTTATCAGGATCAGCTAAACTGAGCCTTATAGAGCTCCGTTGTTTTACATCAGCTGTTACACAGGTGTTTTTTCCTCACTAACCTTTCATGCACAACAACTCTTCAACTCTTCGCAGTCTGCCTCACCTCCACTCTGCTCTCCCTTGGCTCACTACTTACACACTGCACTGAACTCTACTGTAGAGGCTGCAATACACTCTGCCATTTTCTGACAGTGTTTACATTTAGCTTTGTTTGTCCTGTAAAGTGCCTAGGGGTGTAGTGCTATTCAAGCACTGGAACGCACCTATGATGCATGCACATGCATACACACTCATGGTTAAGTTTTGGCTAGTTTCAAAAGTTATGTAACTGCTGTTCCTACAAAGTTTACATACATTATTCAGCTGTAACTGACCCACAAACAAGTTATTCTGCTTGTCTTAACAGGACAACAATGTGCCAGCAGCACTGGTTGTCAGAGCTTACAAACTATGAGCCACCACTGATGAGCTCTGACTCCACTGCAAGGGTGTAGTTTTTGTTTCTACGCAGTGGGGGGGACATATATTAAATTAGGGGTGTCAAATTATCGCGTTAATTGCGAATAATTAATTACAGTCATATTTAACACGCTATGTTTTTTGATCGCTTTAATCTCATTTTTAATCTCTAACTTTACTGTTTCTGTATGCCACAGAGTTGCCTTTTATAAAATCTGTCTGTAGGTGTACGATTGGGCTTCTTTGTGCTTGAGTTGTGGGAGAGCTGCAGCGCTACAGAGCAGAGCCCAGCATCAGCATTGATGACTGTCCCCTGCAGTGGTGGTCTGCTCACTCCGGAGCCTATGAAAAGCTGTCTGACCTAGCACACAAGTATCTGACCTCCCTGGCAACCTCCGTGCCTTATTTGCCGAAAAATTCAGGACAGTCCCGAAATCCACGCAGTTGTCCTGAATCCTGAATCCTGCCCTGATTGTCCCGAAAATTACACTAGAGCAGAGTCTGGAGTAGTTATTGCCCGATAAAACATTAAAAACTGATCATGGTGTTTGAGTTGTCATGCAGCTCCCACCGGCTGCACATTGGCTGCAGCAGTTCTTACATGAATTATGGGCGTTGTAGTTTGAAGAAGAGAAGACAGTGCAAGTTGCAGCCGCAAGGACAGGGAAAGCGCAGGCAGCCACAAGAAGGAGTGATTTGCACGTTGCAGTGCAGCCTCTTGTTCTAACTGTTCAAAACTGTTCTATAAACTGATACAGCTATAACGAATGTACCAGGTGTCTTTTATTTTGTTAGCTTTTATTTTTCATTAAGTTTAAAGGACAAGTGCACTTACATTGATCACTTCCATGAAATAAAACCAGAAATTGAAAAGAGGAAAATAATTTAGAAAATTGTTAAAATAAAATTAGGGAACTGATCACAGATGTATTGTTTCTGTGTGGTTTTACATCTATTGTTGCGTTAATCTGCAGCTATGCTTTTAATGAAGCAGACATATCATGACAGTCAAGCACCCCCCTGGTGGTCGAGACTGAAGGTTGCAGCACTCTTTATTGGGACTAATCTCAAAAACAACAGAATGTAATGGCTAGGTGTACTGCATCTGTGTTCAAGTGTGTTATTGTTGAAAACAATAAATATGACTTTATAAAACCACTTTTTGTAATATATATCAATCTTTTGATCATCTGCCACAATAATGTAATTAATTTAAATGAAAATACCTCAAGTTGAGGGCTTTTCTCAACAATTTTGAGATGAGATTAAAAAGAGATTCATTAGATCAATTAATTACAGATCATAATTAATTAATCTCTCCATTTTTTTAATCTCTTGGCAGCACTATATTAAATGAGGTTTTATGTACCACTTTATGTCTTGTCTGCACCAATTTATAGTGGGAATGCCTTTTAATTTCATTTTTAAGTTCTGAGCACCATGTGTTTAAGAGCTGAGGCTGAGTGCCACCCGCAGCTAGGGCTGGGCGATATGGTCAAAATACCATATCACGATATGGGTCATTTCATATCCCGAAAATGATACATATCATGAAATAGCACATTTTAATCCAATGAATAAAAAGTTGCCCGCTGCGTCTCTGTGGGGCTGAGCCCTCAGTGTGTGCAGTGCAGCAGAGACAGACAGCGGTGGAGTTATATAAACACGTTATGTTACTGTTAAGTGCCGTAAAAACTTCGCGAATTAAAAAGCCAAGAAGAGTAATTTATCAATGTGATCCGTGAAAAAGATGGACAGACACCAAATGACGAAAAATACTGCCGTAAAAAGTGTAATTTGCGTCACAACGATATAAACGATAGAACAAAATATGAAACGATAGACATTTTTCTCTCATCACACTATATATATCGTCATATTGCACAGCCCTACCCGCAGCCAAACACCACACACCATAAACAACAGCAAAACTCAGAGACTGATATCCATATAACTTCAATTAAAAACCTTGTCCCATTTAGCCCCCAGTCCCTTTTATTAGCCACGTGTAACTACACATTTTAACAAATAAAGGCCAGTCTGGTTGCCAAGCAGTTCACTTTTACATAAGTTCTTTGGATTTATAAAGCTTGACTGTTGACTACCCACTTTAGCTACCATTACTTAGCTGTATAGATCACACATACAAATATAAATGTTTTAACTTTTGTCAATATGGAATGCTACATATTGTTAGCTTGGTTTATTTCATTTTACTAAAACCATGAGCACCTGAGAAGACCATGATTCATTCAGATTTACTTGGTTGTTTGCCAAATTTTAAATTAGACGGCCACCAGAGCGCCACCTAGTGGCGGATCGGTAAGTCCTTCATCAGATATCCTCAGGAGGGCATTGACAATAATTATACCAAGTTTCGTTTTAATCCGCCCAACTTATGTTGAGATATAAAATACTTCAATTTAAAGAGCGCCACCTTGTGGTCATCACCCGAAACTTTGCACAGAGCCTCAGGGGCCCATGGGGAAGTGGTAACCTGAGTTTCATGTCATTCGGATACACCAATGTGGAGATATGCAGCACTTCCTGTTTAGAACGAAATCTGCAGGAAGTTGCTATTTAATAACTTGAGTATTGTTTGGAATATCGAAATTTTTTTAATAACTTTTTGTCGGAAGGGTCCACAGATGCTGTGTGTAAAGTTTCATGCCAATCAGTGAAATTGCCTGGGAGGAGTTCGAAAAAGTAGGTTTGCGACATTTTGTAAATTTGCGGAAAAAAACGGTAGGCAGAAATGGGCGTATACCACAAGATTCAGCATAATTCACTGAACGCGTGGATATAAGGTTTCTGAATGTGCGACAAAGTATATGGGAGTTATGACCCAAAGTGCACTGTCCTTAATAATAGCGCCACCTAGTGGTGGAAATTCAGGACGACAAAAGATTATTAAATTTTTCGCCAGGTATGACTTATATTCCAAGTTTGGTGAGTTTTGGGGTATGTTCAGGCAGTGAAAAATGCGATCATATGAGCGTAAGAAAAAAAATATATATATAAATAATCGGGAGAAAAACAATAGGGACCTCGCAGGTCTCCTGCTCGGGCCCTAATTAAAGCTGCAAGCAGCTGTGATCGGGCCCTCGCTCCCCCATGCAACCGCAGGGACCTGAGGCATGCAGGGCCTGTGACGCAGAGCGAGAAGGGAGAAAAACCTTGGCAGGATGTCACTCACTTCCTCTGAAGCTGTCATATAGTCAGAATATGTCAGAATGTGTCCATTCCTCGATTACCAGTTAAGTTATTCATATTTCTTTACTCCATAAGGGTCCACTGATCAAAAGAATCAAAAGTATTTCTCATAGAAATTAATCCAGGTTATGAATATTGTTTTAACAGGATAAAGTGGCGTTGTGTCGGGATGCCGGGTGTCATAATCCTTGGGTGCCGTAAAACAAGTGTCATAATATAACACATAATTTATATGTTAACTTGAAGCCTAATTTTTATACTAGTAATATTCATACTGGTTCAAATTAACAATTTGATCGCATTTCCCATCTTTGCTAAGCAATAGCTATGTGTAAAAGGAATTAAAGGCCTGTCCCAAATATACTGTTACACTCCTCTTTACTGAGAACTGCTGGCAGAATGCGGCAAACTATTGTGTTGTGACAGGAGCCTCGAAAAACTATGGAGTGAAGAATTCCCTCTTTATTTATACATTCTCCAACCACTCTGAATCACAGAGGAGTGTACTACATGTTACAACCAGTCCTGTAATTAAGAATGTAAAAATGTCATCTCTCCTACCTCCCCTTAGTGCCATGATGTTCTTGAGGCCCAGGTGCTTTGCTTTGGTCAGGTGGCCAGTAATCTTCACATTGGTCTGGTTGCAGCAGGTCAGGTGGAGGATGCTTTCCAGGCCACAATAGTTAACAGCTGTGCTGGCAATCATCATAGATGAGGTTTCTTTGTCGGAGCCCGGGTCCCCTGCTGGGTGCCAGGTAATGTCGATGAACAGTGGCCCTCCGCTGCCCATACGGTCAAATCTGAAGATACATGAAAAAATGCTTTAAAGAAATTGTTCAGCTGTTTCTTAGATATTTTTTGAGTGTTTATTGATAATGCTATGTTGGTTTGAATTTTTGATATTTGATATTTATTTCAAACATGTAAAAAAAAAAAAGACATGAACATACAAACAGACAGACAGACAGAAAGTAATATTTGTAAATAATGAAAAGCATAATGTAAAAGCAATTGTAAAAATATAGTTACTTTGATTAACACAGTTGAAGAGGAGCAAGAGGAAGTATAAACTTATTAAATCCCACCCCTTCTCCATAAGTCATTGAATGAACAGAAACAGACAGCATCCTTACATAGGTAAACCTATACCTTACATTTTTCTAAATATACAATTTTTATTACCATTTAATATGGTCACACAAAAATAACCCTAGTAAATATACTGTATAATATTAATTACCAAATATCTAGCTTACAAACTACATACCTGTCTTAGTATATAATATAAATGACCAATTATCCATGGCTCCCAAATATAAACCAGTCTAAATGTATGATATGTTACCAATTATCTTTGCCTAACAAAAATATTAATATTACATATCTTAATCAACTTGTCCTTCTATATTTTTTTATTTTTATTATATAGTTTTTATTATATTAATAAATAAATAAATAAAATATACAAAATATGAATATACATACATTTTCCAGCATATATTGATCAAGTATGATGCTGATCATTGTATTTTTTATCACCCTCTTTTCAGATTAAAATGGGCCACTGTAACATATAAGCAAACTAACTACAACTTTTCACTAATCCTTTGACCATGTCCTTGTGCGCAGCCTTTGTTGAATCGAAGCAAGTCATTTTTCCTGTATAAAATACTGCATTCAAGTCCTGTTGAATTGCACATGCCTTGAGATGAGGTTGACAGCTCCACTGGCTGTGCGGGGAGGAAAGAATTCCATCGAGAACCAGCGGTCTCCGGACTCCGTCCTCCTGCGCATCTTGTCCCGCAGCCTGTCTGATCGGTCTGCGTCCAGCACCGGCGTAGAACATCGTGAGCTCTCCTTGGAGCTCTCCCCGCCGCTGTTGCTGGCCCCGCTGGAGTCGCTCTTACATGACTGCCAACTACCGTCCCCTCGCGGAACCTGGTTCACCATGGTAGCAGACTATACTGAGGGGAAAAGAACACACAGAACATGTCTTTCTGACTCTGTTCTGTCAGTAACATACAATCTTGAGCTGTAACGTTACCTGCGCCATGGGCAACAAACGTCACACCAAACCCTGTTCAAAAGTACGGTATGTCACTTATTGTTGACTGACTTTTTGACAACGTAACGTTACAACCTCATAAAGCAAAAGCTGAACATCTCTTTACAAAGAAATCACAATACTCTACAAATAAGGGACAGGTTAAAATTTCAGTTACACGTGTACGATTATGCTTGCAGGTTTCTGTGCAGAGTCCATTTGGAGAGCACAATATCCTACCTGGTCCTTTTGCAGCAAGGGTAACTGATGTATAACAGCTGCTGCTGATAACTCTACATCCCAAACACACTAACACGAGCCACTCGTTTTATACCCAGCTACAAGTTTAGTCATGCGCACAAACGCAGGTAAAAGAATGTAAATAAACATCTATGTAGAGCTTGCTAGCGTTAGCTCTCTTAGCTGAGCACAGCTAATGTTAGCTCCGCACCTCGCGAGCAGTGTTAGCTCATTGGTCCCTAAATTATAAGAGAAAACCCGAAGTAGCTCTGGCAACGTGCTTTCACACCGAGCTCGAAGCTAACACAGGTTACGGTCTGTTTACGCTCGTGTTAAAGAGCAAACGCTGCTTCTCTGACCTCTCCCAGCCGGTTGTCTTTGGGCTGGCGTGTCGGAGTCTATTCCCCCCTCACAACAGCTACTGTGTTTATAGCGAGGGACCCACACATGGGGTACCTCGAGGTATCAGATGCTGTGAAGCTTCAAAAAGACGGTGTTGCACACGTCACAACACAATTCATGGAATCAAAGGGTAGTTCACTTACTCCTTACGTGGGTTCAAGACGCTGTACAGACCTTTTATCTATTTTATTTTATGAACCTAACTTTAGCTCAAAAATGTAAGGCCCAACTCGTGCACTTGACACTTTTGAGTTAGTTTCTCATAACATAACATATACATAGGCCTGCTTGCTAAATAATTTTGCTCATTAGTATCATGTGCTTGTTAATTTTGTTAAATTCAGTTGAAATAATTGCACATTCTTATCAAACACAAAGAGCATAACAAAATGTTAACAATAAAGTTAAAAGTGAACTTTTTTTAAGGAAGGCCCTTTTCACCAAATGCAATATGGGATATCCCTGTATTTAGGGGAATGACAATTGCGCGGTATTTGCTAGATAGATAGCTAGATAGCTAGATAGATAGATAGATAGATAGACAGACGCTTTATTATCTCCGAGGGAAATTAAGACACCCAGTAGTTTATTACACAGCACATACAAAAACACAGATACACATAGTGTTAGAGAGTATAATGAAAGAATAAAATTATAAGAATAAAAAACATGAGATGTTACTACTGTAAGAATGAAAAACACGAGATGTTACTACAGTAGATATGATTGTAGTGCAAATGTAGGTGGTAAACAGTGCAGGTATTTCAATGTGAGGTGATTAAAGTGGAAGAACAGTGCAGGAGTAATGAATACTTTGCAATTTAAGATAAATATATGTACAGATGCCAATGCAAATACAGATTTATTTTGCACAATTATGAAATCAGTTCCTGGTCAAATTCATTGGCTTTCGTTGCATTATCTGAAAAAATACATAGGACATAATTTCCCCATCCATTCGTGCGTGCATTTTAAGAGTTTATGGTGCCTTTATTAAAGAAAATAGGATTGTGCGTAAATTACACGCACTTTTGACTATTTGGAATAACCTTCTCCCTTTGGCGTCACATGACACTGTAGGAAACGGCCAATGTTGCGTTTACTTGCCCTGGGAAATATATATTTTAAACATAGCCGCAGTGTTATGAACATATATTTTAAAATCAAATTTTAGGACACTGCTATAGCTTTGTAAAATAAAATTTGTGCGATATACCACCCACTAAATATGTTTTCAGGTTCTTCCAGCGATTTCGAACGAAGAAAAAGTTTGACGTTTGTAACCACAGTCCCTGAAAGCCACATGACACAACAACGAAGATGGCCTGTTGTGGAAACTGTTTTTGTTGCCAATGTTGCTGCAGAGAAGGAGAGACGCGGACACCCGAGGAACTGGTAAGGAACGATAAACCATCTGGCCAAAGCAGGGATCTCTCTATTTTATGATCAGATATTTTCCCTCTGAATTTCTCCTGAGCTTTGCTCTGTGCCCAGTTTTCTGGGTTGCTTGCTCCACCCTGCTCCACAGTGATTGTGTTCTAGTGTCTCATAGCTTTTGCAAACAAGTAACAGTGACCTTTAATCTTTCGCAATTTACCGACACCTAGGCTGAAACTGGCAATAATTCTCTTTACACTGTAACTTCGCCTCATGGGGTTACTGTTTGTAGTTTTTACTATGCTTATGGAAAGAACGCCCCTGGACCAAACTCTGTTTTCACAAATCTGGCAATTTAGGGCTTTCTTATAAACCCACCTATCCATCCTTAACAACATTTAGAGGTTTTATGGCTTACCAGAATCATTTTGGCATGCACGCTACACGCATATAAGTATTTTGTGTTTACACCAACAACATACTTGTTTCATTACCCATTTATACCAAAGGTCATCTTCCATCCATCTTAGTTTAACTTTTGTTAATTTTAAATGCATGGGAGGTAATTAATATGTCGACTTTACCTGTACATCTAATCATGTCTTTAAGCTATGATCTTACTCTCGATTAGGTGTTTACATTTGCAAAATAAGTCAACTTTAAATTTATTCAAATCTGAAACTTGCCTGTTCCACTAACCATGCAGTAATGGAGATACCCTGATAATTTACTAATTTACCACTTATTTACTTCTTTCTTACTTCTTTGATGGCAAATTTAAGCAGTAAATATGCAGTCAAGTAAGTAGCTGCATTCTTGAAAGTCTCCATGTTGTTGGCATTCAGTGAAGGACTTGTAGTCTGTAGCTGGCTTAATTTCGTGTGAATTGTTCCTGCTGTGCTGGATGTGTCCCTTTATTGATTATATTGTACTTAGCTTATTCCTTTTTTCCACAAGACAATCCTTGGGGAAATCCGAGATGAAGAAGATGAGATTCTGCCTAGGAAAGACTATGAGGTGAGAAACATGTGAAAAAACATCATAAGGAGAAAGATTTCCGGCAAACGTTGATGGGTTCAAGCTTCTCCTGGTACAGATGAGAGTCACTGGATGTCTGACATTGGTCTGACCCAGGTAATAGTTACATGTTTTGGCTTTGACAGAGCTTGGATTATGACTGCTGCATCAGTGAGCCCTACGTGGAGATCCTGGAGGGGATGGACAACAGGGTGAGACAAGTTAAAAATGTCTTTTGTAAAGTCATTGCTCAGATATGGATAACAAATCTACAGAGCACTCAGATAAGATTCGATTCGGGTGTCTTCACCTCATCAAATCTTACACAGGAGGAATATGATGTAGCCTACTGGAAAAGTAAAACTGTGGAAGATGTATGTTTATTGTTTTGTGCTATATTTGAGGATCTACACAGGGCTTCTGATAATAATAGTGACAGGCAAACAAAGTCTTATGGAGCTTTGGGCTATCTTTCTGTTTGTGCTGAGGAGATGCAAAGCTTTGGGGCTTTTAACATGGCAAACACAGCGACATCTGGTGGCTTGCAGAACAAAGAGCAGTCCTTCAAGCAAGGTTGAAGCACCATAACACCTTTCTGTTTGTAAAAGTTTTAGTCTCATATGTGTTCAATAACAGGCATACCCAACATGTACTTATGATCAGATGTGTTGCATTAAATAATGTGGGTGGTATTAAATAGTGTTGGTGGTATTGTGATGGTGTTGGTGGTATTGTGATGGTATTGTGCAATGTTACAGTAGAATCATTAATGAATGCCTTGGCCAGAATCCTGCATTTTTGCCAACACAAGCTCTTTCCACTGCGATCTTATGTGTTTTAAATTTATTGTTCATATACAGTAGATGATGTGAAAGAACCACTTTAACACGATTTCTTGGAGTAGTGCAAACTGTCTTAAAAACTACTCAGCTCAGAGGCAGAGCAGGTCATCCTCTAATCGGAAGATCAGCTGTTAGATCAGTGTATGGAGTCTGCATGTCAAAGTATGCTTGAGCAAGATACTGAACCCCAAATTGCTCCCAATGGCTGTTCCATCGGTGTGTGAGTGAGTTAAAAACTGAGTAGCAGGTGGCACCTTGTATGGTAGCCTCAGCCACCAGTATGTTAGTGTGTGCCAATGGGTGAATGTGACTCATAGTGTAAAAAGCGCTTTGAGTGGTCAGATGACTAGAAAGGCGCTATACAAGTGCAGGTACATTTACCATTTACTCATGTAGTATGCTTACCTAAGTATGTTTCAGAAAAATGGAATAATTTATGTTTCAAAAACATACAGAAACGCTATGCGCCCTCATCAATCACTGTGGAAGCAATCATATCATACAGATGATGTTGAGAGCATAGAAACTACATGCTGGTGGACACAAACATAAAATGGGGATATTTGTATTCTGTTGGTCATATGACAAAAACAACTGAGAACTAAAAAATTGAGAAAAAAGATTCATAGATTTAAATTCATGATAAAAAGTCAGTTTACAATTTTAATTCTCAGTTTAAAATATAATATGCGAAATCTTTGTATTAATATCTTTTTCATCTGCCAATAGAAAGCCAAAAAGTATGAAGCGATGCGGTGGATGATGATGTTTGCTATTGGAGTCACAGTGGGTCTGGTAGGTGCATTTGAGATATCTTGGTTTTCCTTGTTAGATTCCAACATATTGCAGATGACCAGGGAATGTTACCTTCATGTCTCTTTCAGGTGGGCCTGTTTGTGGATTTCTTTGTGCGCCTCTTGAGCAAAATCAAATTCACTCTGGTTGGCGATTGTATCCTTCAGCACGCCTCTGCAGATTGAAACATGGAGTAACAAACAGCAGAATTCACCGCACATCAGTGTTCAATGATCGACAGAAGCTTTTATGAAAATGGATACTCAGAGTCCACTCAGTGATGTGCTGTCTGTAACAGAGTGTTAGGGCTATTGTTAGGGTTGCTGCTAGTTTAATGTCATTAAAACATTGTAATGTTATGAAAATAATGTAAGAATTTGGGGAAAACAAGTCACAATATTACAAACATACAATTACAGTAATTCTGTTAGGAAAAGTGATAACATTACCTAAGAATCAAAATTATTGTAACATTTTAAGCAAGACATTTTTAAATTATTACAACCTCTTCTTTTCAGATTTCAGATTTATTCGCACACCACACAGAATCAACATGTGTCAACAGTTACACAAGTACAAGACACAATTGTGTGGAGTGCCAGGTCTCCTATAAAGCTATTTAAAGCTTATGGCGGGAGCCTGATCAGGAAGATGAGTCAAGACGTATAGCCGTTACATGGTACAAGACATGTTACAAACACAAAACATATTGCAGACACAAAACACAAAACACACAGGACAAATCAACATACATTCATTCCCAGATCAGTGAAGGATACTATACATATGAATTAAGCATTTTTTGTTTCAGTTTCTTCTTAAAAACAGAGATGGATTTAGATGTTTTCAGACTCTCATCAAGCCCATTCCAGATCTGCGGCCCCCTGGTTGTTATGCTTAGACTAGTGCATTTCAGTTGTCTTTTTTTACCGTGTATAAGAATTGTATTTCTGGTATTATAAATATGCGTGGGGTGGCTGACTGGGATGAGCTTGGAGAGTCTTGGATTCAAGTTATGGACAACTTGGTACATTGTAGAAGCATTTTGATGAACATTGAACTCAGCAAGCCTCAGGAGATTATAGTTGTGGAAGAGGGAACGTGTGCGAGTGTTATAACCAGACCAGGTTATGGCTCGTATAATTTTCTTTTGTAAACTTTCTAATTTCTTCAGGTGACATAAAAAAATGACTCTTGTGCTTTAACATTAAAACTTCAAGTAAATTCCTTTTCCCCTTTACTAGCCCAGTGTGACTACACATTTTGGCAAATAAATGCCTGTCTCAATTAGATGCCTGGTTACCAAGCAGTTCTTTTTTTTAGAAGAAGTTCTACGGATGTATAAAACCAGGTTGTTGGCTACCTCAAATTATGTGTCCATTCCTCAATTACCCTGTAAGCTATTCTTATTCCTTTAGTCCATACGCCTCCTCAGATCAAAAGAATCAAAAGGGTTTTCACAAAAATTAACCCAAGTTGTGAGTATTGTTTTAACAGGATAAAGTGGTGTTGTGTCGGTATGCCAGGTGCCTTAATCCTCAAGTGCCAGAACACTCTCTGGAGCTAGATCAAATTAATGATTCATAATTGATATATTATCTATGGCCTAATTATTAAACAAGTAATGTTCATACTGGTTTAAATAAACAATTTGATTGTATTTCCCATATTTGCTGAGCAATAGTTTTGTGTGAAAAGAATTAAAGGCCTGTCCTAAATAGGCCTTTTGAGTTCAGTGATTTAAGAAAATAATAGCCTGGACTGTTAATTCAAGTTTTATGGTATATTTTGACTTTTTTCAAATTGAAAGGTCTAGTGTGTAGGATAAAGTGGCATCTAGTGGCGAGGTTGCAGATTGCAACCAACGGAAACTTCTGTCCTGTACCAAGCATGTAGGAAAACTTAAGTGGCCAATGCAGAAACGTGAATGGCCCTATCTAGAGCCAGTGTTTGGTTTGTCCCTTCTGGACTACTGTGGACTCAATGGAAGAGGACCCACTCGACATGTAGATATAAATGTCTCTTAGTTCTAAGGTATCTAAGAGACAACGATTCTTAGTTTTAGCTTCATACCAGGCCCCCAGGAAATGTGCCGGACTTTGGAGACAATTTGACATAGTGGCCAAACATAGATGTATAGTAATATCTAGATACTAACACCAAGAGTTGCTTGCCTGGCGCATATGCCAAAAAAAAAGTTTTTTGGTCACGGGTTTACTTCTGCGCTGTGCAGCTCGCTGAATGTATGCAGTAGTGTTTCTCCCGCTGGCCCTGTTCCTGCCTGGCTTATAGACTTTATATTGTGATGACATCACATATTTTTAAGTAGTTTTTCTTGGCTCAAGAAAAGTTTTTCAAATATGAAATCAAAACTCATAATACGAACAGTTTTACAGACGTCTCTTGTACAGTGGGGTGGCCTATACAGGGGATTTTGTTTTACTGCCATACTGCGAGTGGCCACTGGGAAAAACTGGAAGTAAGGCTGAGTAGCATTCCTGGGGGCCTTTGGCCAGTCTGTGTAACTAAAACCTCTGGGTCCATCACATGGTGCCATTGGGCCCAAAATACATTTTTCCATAGGTGTCTGTAAATCAGTGGATATATTTTTGTAGCATCACAAGCCCCTCAAAATGACTTATTTCACTATCAGAATTTGATCCATTTAGTCCAACATTTTTATCCCCACTGAAGTTAGCAGAGCGTTACACTGAAGTTAACTGTTAGGCCGGCAAAGCCTCTTGTGCACCTGCCCTATGGGACCAATGATGTGAAAGATCCGGGTAATTTTATGTCTGCAAAGTCAAACTTGTTTGGCTTCATGCACCACTTATCAGCTTTCATAGGAATGAACAAGGCCCTGCCTACAACACTGTATGCAAGTCTCTTTGTTAGGGGTGGAAATCCCCAAAACGTTATTAACAGGATACTGAAGTCATAATACAATATTATTGCAATTTTAAATATGTTGCAATATGCTGAGTATTGCAATAAAATATATTTACTTTAAATTATATCCCCAAAGGAAAATTCCGTCAGAAACTGTTTTATCTATCCTATCTATCCCAGCTAGAAATGTAGCAACAGGTCGCTAAAAAACACCCAAATTTGTTGGCTGAGGGTCACACGAGTGAAATCAACACCTGCAAATCTTCGCCTCCTGTTCACTTTCATTCAGTGTGAGCTGAGCTACGAATAAAACATTTGCTTCTGGTGGCAAAGCAAACTCACATCTTTGCATCACATGGAACTTTGTGGAACTCTGACCAGCGAAGTCACAGCCTCAACCAACGGCACAGAAGTATAGGTAGAAGAGATGTTGATGGTTGCCTTGTTCAACCAGCTGATATTGTCCGTGAAAATACTAGGGCTGTAGTCAACCAAAGAAATTCTTGGTCGACTAAAGTCGTACATAATCTTCAACTACTCGATTACTCGTGGGGGAAAAAAAAAATCTGCACGTTATTTTTACTTCTGCGGTGGTGTGTCTGTGTCACTCTGCAGTTACACCTCCAAAACACTAGGTGGCGGTGGAGGACTCTGTTAAGTGCTGTAAAATTTAGTTGATTCAAAACACACATTAAATATGGCTTAATAGATACAATTTAAAACAAAAGTGCACAAATTGGCTTCACTATAAATTGCAGCGTTGACAGACAACCACTTGTCTTTATCTGGACACATTTCCCCCACCAATACAACATGCTAACATTATTAGCATAAGTCTATGGCATTTTACATTGTATAAATTAGCCTAGCGTCTAGCGATCTTTTCCTCTTCTCATATAAAACCAGGGACAACAGCAACATTAAACAAAGGTAACGTCATAGAATTTGGCTCCTACAGCTCATAAGATTCACCGACAAAACAACCGTCTTATACTAAACACGTTTTCCAAGCAAATACAACATGCTAACGTTATTAGCACCAGCCTATGGTATTTTACATTGTATACGTTAGCCTAGCAACTAGCGATCTTTCCCTTGTCTCATATGAAGCCATGATAAATCCCAAAGTATAAATCCCTGAAGGACAGATCACATACAAGACTTAAAATGATACTTTAGTGGAGGCCTTACTGTCTTCACAATTTATTGTTTCTTATCTGTGAAATACAAGTAAATACAAGCTTCCTTTCCACTGAGAGAAATGGTTTCAGCTTACAGAAACTCACACGAGGTCTGCGTCACCGCGACGCTGAGCGTAGGGTGGGCGAGTTCAACTTTCTGTCAACAACAGGGGTGTTTTGAAAACACCCCCATTTTCATAGGTAACTTAGCCTGCCCCATTGTCTGGAAACACAGCAATGAATCGCTAAAAAATAACCGGTCTGGTTGTCTGTTGATCTATAAAGATAAAGTTTTCAGTCTGTTCATCTGACTTCAGCCATTTTGCAGCAGCAGCAAAATGTGTCTGGTGGACTGAAAAAGCTATTGATTATATAATTCTAGTAGACGACCTAAAGTTTAATATGTACTTGTAATATTAATGATTTATATAATAAAAAAAAATCAATAGTCTGCATTGTGTGACAATAAGATATTGCCACACAAAAATATCATGATACCATGCTGTATTGATTTTTTTCCCCCACCTTTCCTCTATACATCCATGGATTATACACTAATGAAAACATAGTTATGAATATTAAATGAAATTTCTGCCAATATATCCTCCTTAACCCTACACACTGAATCGTTAACACTTGATTCTCATAACAGTATCTTAATTAACACCACAGATTATTTTAACTTCGTTCTTGAAATCTCCTCTCTTTTTTCCCCTTACAGTACTTCTATGTACTTCTTTACCAGGATAGTACAATATGTAGGCCTGCGGTTTTTCTTTTGGTTTTGTGTTCTGCTTTTACTCAGTAAGTGTGCATTGTGTGAAGATTATTAGTGGTCTCCTTGCACAGTTAAATGCAGAGTAGAGTAGTACCTGCTGGGATACAGCAAGGTAGCCATCATTCTCCATTCATTACAATATGTTCTGAAAATAAACCAGCTGTCAAATGTACATTATCATTGTGTTTGAACATTGTTGTATTGATACGGTAACATAATTCCCTAAAGAGACAGGTTTATCCTCAGTGTTGGTGTTTTTTTTTACTTGAGCTGAACACCTCCAGCTTTAGAGAAGTGCAGTGATAAAGGCTGTCTCCCTCTGTCTCTGCTGGAGCTCCTGGCTTTCAACATGACCTTTGTCTTCATTGCCAGTGTGCTAGTCCTCATCGAGGTAAGGCTGCTCAGATACAGTAGGTATTCAAATTTCAATTTTAGTGATTTTCTGCTGGCAATTAGCATCTGTGACCTGGACTTGAACTAGAACCTGCTGATTACTGTTTCCTCCTGAAACAAACAAAACAAGTTAAGGTAGAAACTCCAGAAATTCTGGCATGAGGTCTTAAGCCACTGGTGAGAAAAGTCCCTACATAAACGAAGAATGAGTCAAACATAAACTGTCTGCTGGACAAGTGTCCATCCTTTGGTATAAAAGGTCACAGACTGGTCAAGGTGGTAAATGTAGTTGCACTGCAGTATATGTGCTTTATTGTCATTACTTTATAGGAGAACATAAGTTTTATAGCCTTAAAGTGTTTGACCCCATTTCACCTGTTACCAACAAATTGTGACATGTTGTTCAATTTTTAACTAGAGAATACACTAACCTGTGATTTCATGTGATGATGCCTACATGCTATGTTTTGGTGTTCTGTAATCAGCCAGTAGCTGCAGGTTCGGGAATCCCAGAAATCAAAAGTTACTTGAATGGAGTAAAGATTCCAAGAATTGTCCGGCTGCGAACTTTTCTCTGCAAAGCTGCTGGAGTTCTGTTCAGTGTGGCCGGAGGTAAAGTATGAGTACAGCACTAAATGTGTACAAGAGATGTGTTTTGATCAAAGTGGATGACCGCTGACATTTTGATTCCAAATCGCACTGAATGTTTCCAGTTGTCCGATAAAGACATTGAAAATGTGTCACGGTTTTTTATTTTGTGTATGTGTGGGCTTTTTACAACAGTGAGAGCAGAGAGTAAAGGGAAAATGCCCTACAAACAAAGAACAAGAAGATGAATGTACAGTATATTCATATTTTCTTATGCAGTCTGATAAGAGATAAGCAGTGTTGCTCTGATTATTTAATGAATATTTAAAAGCACTGAAAACTCACACTGAACTTATTTCTCTCAAATTTTGGTAGCTTATTTGTTAAAATCTTCTTGAGCCCTTCTCCTTTTCCAAGATAATCCATCCACCACAAGTGTGGCATAGCAAGACACCAATTAAAAAGCTTAATTACTTAACAGGTGTGCCTTGGGATGGTCACAGTGAAATGTGCAGTTTGATCACACAACAAAATGACACAGATGTCACAAGTTTTGAGGGAGCGTGTTACTGGCCTGCTGACTGCAGAAATGTCCACAGAAATATTCTCAGCTACATGTAGTTAAATGTGCAGTTTTACGGGTTGTTTGTATAACCAATGCAATAACCAGAAACCACATTTGATACGTTCAGGCATGAAAAGCGCTCACCTTTCGCCGTTTTCAATACAAAATAGGTGACCTATGTGAATCGTGTAGATCTGATGACAAAATATGTGGACACGGCGGCATGTTTTGTTTTTTTTTTTACCTTAAAAGACTTAATATGCACATGTGGTAAACAAAAGAAATGAGTGTACGTTAACATATTCATATCTATAGGCCTAAGCCTCACACACGTCCATAGGCGTATATTTGTTTTACGGCGCAGATCAAGGTCGAGTTCATCAATCTATGGTAGTACAGTCACCTGCTTAAAAAAATCTAGTAATATGTCCTGTTGTGACAAACAGAATTCAAGGGGGATTCGGGGGGTTCTCCCCCAAGAAAATTTTGAAATTCACACAGTGAAGTCCTATTTTCATGCAATTTCATACAGAATTAGATAAATTAAAGGACTTTCAATGACCTATGTACAGGGCTGGACTGGGACAAAAAAAATGCTGACATTTATGTATCTTATTTGTACGGAGTGAGTCCACGCTGGAACGCACATGCGACGGATCCAGTGGACATCCAGTATGCGGTCTAGGTGCTACCGAAGACATCCGACTACCAGTGAGCCAACTTACCTTTCTTCAAGTTCAGTCAAGCGCCTCTCAGTTCACTTGAAAAGTCACGTCCTCCCCGGCGCGTGAAACGGCCCGTAGTCAGCTGACTGTGAGACTAGAGCTGCCCAATCAAAGCAGAAATATGGATTGCGCACCAATCAGAGAGTAGTTTTCCACAGAAACATTTGGCTGCACTCCATTTCGCTCAACCGGTATGCCGGTCAGGCAGAGTTTGCCCCTCTCCTCTCCTCTCCTCTCCTCTCCCCTCTCCACCCACCCGGCGCGCCGGCTGTTTAAAATTAATTTAAAATACTCAGCTACCAGCCTTTTTCCAGCGATCGTCGCTGGCGTGAGAATTAGTTGGGCAGAGTAAGACCATGAGATGGAAGGTGAATGCGTGTGTCACACGCCAGATGCGTGAGTGTTGGCAACCCTGACATATGCGCGTGGGCATTTCATGAGAGAAGTTGTCGGTCTCGTCCAATGGGGGATTGGCCATCGGGACATTTGGGACGAATCCCAATGGGCGGTCACCAAGTGGGCCGGTGGGGCTGGCCCGGTGAGACTAGTGAATGTTAAGCTAGTTGCTACCTGTCAGTACTGCAATGCGCGTCCCTCCCATACTAGTCTCGCCACCAGACAATCAGAGATCTCCGCCTTCTGATAGTCTGGGGACACTCCTTTCTAAAGTGTGTTTAACACACCAGCGAAAACAGCCGGCAACAAAGCAACACCTCCTGCATTTCTGAAAAGGACATGCCTTCTTGGAAATGTGCGCTCCCCCTTTTCTCGTCCGCAAGGAAACAAGCACACAGAGAGCTTGAAAATAGATGCCGAGAGATTTAACTCCGTTTTATCAAATGTGTGCTTATCCATGAAGAAAATATTTTTTCCAGCGGATGTCTTAGTTACAACATGATTGAGCTAACTGGAGTAGTTTCATGTTGTATCCGACAACGGGAGGCTTTTAACAGATGACGTTCTGATGTTAGCTTTGCTGCTGCTGTTAGCTGTCCCTGACAGCTGCAGCCACTGATGCTTTCTAGACATCGTGATTTCCCAAAACTGAATAAATACCACACATAGCAACACAAAACTGCTTTGCTAGCTCAATCATGTTGTAAGTAAGATATCCGCTGGAAAAAATATTTTTTTCACGGACCGTTTGTTGTGAGATAACTTATTGTTCATATGAGGCTACGGTAGCCAGTGGGGGGCTGGGCGTGATAACGTGATGACGTGATCTCAAGCCGGAAGTTTAGCAGCAGAAGTTACTGTTAGCCATGTGTTGTGTGCTGGTGAAATAAACGGAGTTACGAGGAACCCGTGTCTCCCTCCTTCCATGACATGGTGTCAGAAGTGAGGGCTCAACGCTAACGCCGGAGACGAGATGGCTAAGTTTGGTCCCCCGGAGCCGTTCGACTTTTCCCACCCGGCGGAGTGGCCGGTGTGGAGGCAGAGGTTTTCCCGCTTTCATGTGTCATCGAAGCTAGATAAAGAGAGTGGTGAGGTTCAAGTGAATTCATTTCTCTATTCTATGGGGAGAGATGCGGAGCCTGTCTACAGTTCATTTGTGTTTCCTGCTGCCACGGAGGCTATTCCACACCCCGAGTTTGACTTTAAAATTGTGGTGGAAAAGTTTGATGAACACTTTGTACCCAAACGGAACGTCATCCATGACCGCGCCTCCTTTCACAAGCGGACCCAACAGGCTGGTGAGACCGTGGAGGCGTTTGTCCGGAGCCTGTATGAGCTCGCGCAGCACTGCGAGTTCGGCAACAGCAAGGATGAACAGATTCGGGACTGCATTGTGATAGGAATATTGGACAAAGAGGTTTCACTGTTTGAACTGTAACCGAGTCAAAGCCAACCATCATAGAAGAACCAGACTCAGACACAGATTGGGATGTTGAGCTGATGGTGAATGGTAACCCAGTTGATTTTAAAATCGATACTGGAGCTGACACGACTGTTATGACAGAAGAGACATTCAGTGGGTTACAGCGGAGGCCCAGACTGATCATTTCCAGGCTGACAGTGTACAGCCCGGGAGGGAAAGTTTTGTGTGTGGGAAAATTCCTTGCCACTACCATGTACAAGGGGCAGAAATATCAGTACTGGATCACAGTCATTAAAGGACAATATACAAGTAATTTACTGGGCAAGTCTGTGGCAAAGCGAATGGGACTGGTTGCAAGAGTCAACAGCAGCGTAACAGAGGATGTGTTTGGAGAAATGGGATTACTGAACTGTGAGCCTGGTAAAATAGAACTGACTGATGACGCAGTGCCATACAGTGTAAACACGCCACGCAGAGTTCCCTTTCCACTTCTCCCAAAAGTTGAAAGAGTGTTAAAGCGCATGCTCAGCCTGGGGATCATAGAGGAGGTCACTGAACCCACAGATTGGTGTGCACCAATGGTGCCTGCTCCAAAGCGCAACAAGGATGAGGTCAGAGTGTGTGTGGATTTAAAATGGCTGAACAAGCGGGAGCGCTACATTCTGCCCACACTGGACGACATAACGCCCAAGCTAGCCGGAGCCAAGGTTTTTTCCACTTTAGATGCCTCAAGTGGGTTCTGGCAAATCCCATTGGACCCCAGCTGCCAGAAATTAACCACCTTCATAACTCCCATGGGCAGATTTTGCTTCAAACGTTTGCCATTTGGGATTACATCAGTGCCTGAGATTTTCCAGCGGCTGATGAGCACGCTGCTCAAGGACCTGGAGGGGACCGTCGTCGTGATGGACGACATCCTTGTCTACGGGTCTAATAAGGAGGAACACGACTGCCACCTGAATATGGTGCTACGCACGATTAAAGCTTCAGGCCTCAAGCTCAATGGAGCAAAGTGCCACTTCAGACAGACCGAACTACAGTTCTTCAGGCACATAATCAGCGCCGACGGTGTGAAACTGGATAACAGCAAAGTGGAGGCCATCACCAAACTGCCCAGCCCTACAAATGTGGAGCAACTGCGCCAGGTGCTTGGACTCATAAACTATGTGGGCAAATTCCTTCCTGGCCTGTCCACCATGCTGTACCCGCTCACGAGTCTACTCAGAAAAGAGACTGCATGGGTCTGGGGCGAGCCTCAGGAGCAGGCATTCAACAAAGCGAAAGCTGCGCTAGTGGCAGCACCAGCATTATGTTACTATGACGCAGGCCGGCCAACCGTGGTCAGCTCAGACGCCAGCAGCTATGGCCTGGGCGCTGCCCTGTTACAGGACCATGAGGGAGAGCTGCGAGCCGTTGCCTTCTGTTCTTGCACTCTCACAGATGCGGAATAAAAGATATTCCCAGATCGAGAAAGAGTGCTTGCCGTCTGTGTGGGCCTGTGAGCGCTTCACCCGTTACATCCAGGGGATGGGCAGGGTCCGTCTTCAAACAGACCATAAGCCTCTGGTGCCATTAATTAACACATACGACCTGGACAAGACCCCATTGAGGTGTCAGAGGCTGCTCATGCACCTAATGCGGTTTGATGTCATCGCGGAGCACGTCCCAGGTAAACAGCTGGCAGTGGCTGATGCACTCTTGAGGCAACCCCTGGATGGAGACCACAAGTCAGACAATGATGGTCAGGTCAGAGCATATGTGAACACTATGGTGGCTAGCAAGCCGATCAAGTCACCCAAGCTGGAGGAAATCCGCAGAGCCACACAGGGTGATGCCGAACTTCAAAAAGTGATCACCTTCATCAGAAAAGGGTGGCCAGAGAGAATGGCAGAGTTCTCACCCCTGCAAGGATTTCACACAGCCAGAGCTCACCTTTCTGAATCAGATGGTCTCGTACTATACCGTGATCGCATTGTAATCCCCACAGCACTCAGATCCGATGTTCTAAACCAGCTGCACGGAGGTCACCAGGGACTAACCAAGTGTCGAGAGCGAGCCAGGTTAACGGTCTGGTGGCCCAGCATCGGGGCCCAGATCATCAAGAAATTGAGATCATGTGACTTCTGTGCAGAGCATAAACCCACACAGAGACATGAACCACTGGTAATGACTCCCCTACCCAGTGGCCCCTGGCAAAGGATTGCAGCTGATCTGTGCAAGCTGGAGGGTAAGTGTTATCTCATTGTAGTGGACTATTTTTCAAGAGACATTGAAATTGCTCCTCTTACTACTACTACAAGCAGACAGGTTATAGGCAAGCTCAAGCACATGTTTGTGAGATGGGGAATTCCACTAGAACTGGTCAGTGACAACGCCATGCAGTTCACATCGGTCGAGTTCCAAGACTTCAAACAGAGGTATGGTTTCACCCACATAACCTCCAGTAATGGGGCCGCCGAGAGAGCTGTCCAAACAGCTAAACACATCCTCAAACAGTCTGACCCCTGCCTAGCTTTAATGTGTTATCGCTCTACACCGATCACCGCGACCGGAGCGAGCCCCGCTTAGTTGATGACAAGACGACAAATCCGTGCCACTGTCCCAGCACTAGAGAAGTCATTGCTGCCACAGCCAGCCAACTGGGATCTCGTCTACCAGAAAGACGCTGCGGCTAAGGAAGCTTACAGGTTCTTCTACAACCGCAGGCATTCAGCTCGTCCTCTCCCTGAGCTGCACCCAGGTCAAAAGGTCAGGGTGAAGCTCGACGGGGACAAAGGTTGGAAGACACCTGCTACAGTCATCAGCATGTCTAAGGAGCCGAGATCCTATGTGGTGGAAATGGACAACGGTACAGTGACTCGTCGCAACAGGTGACATCTCCAGTCTGTCCCTGAGACCGCCAATACAGTGGAGCAACAGCAGTGTGCTGCTCCTGTCCCACCACAGCATGACTGCAGTTCCCCAGCTACGGTGGTGGTGACTTCACAGGAGCCGTCACAGGGCCAGCCATTGCCAGGTCCCGTACCGCGGTCTCCTCTCCAGTCCACCACTCCCCGGAGACTGACCTCCAGGGGCCATGAGGTTAAACTGCCTCTCAGATTTAGAGACTGACAGAGACATTGACTTTTGGAGTTCTCTTTATTAGATCTGTGTGAGTGTTTGTTCTTACAGGAGACACAGACAAGGATGAGGACTGAATTTAAGGGGGGGGGGGGTTCATCCTCCTCTCTCTCATAAGGGCAGAATAATCCCTTCTCAGGACTGAGGGTAGTCTACCCCGATGATGTCCAGTGTTCAGTTGAGGAGAGAGAATGGGAGAGTATTATTATGAAAAAAAAGTTATGTTTTATACTGTCAAATGGAAACTGATACTGTTTATGCATGTTACGGTTTATTTACACTACAGTGGAATAGTTACAAATGTCTGCCTTTCAGGTAGTAGGTTCAGATGTAAGAGAAAAATGGTTTGCAGTTCAGTGGCAAGTAGTAATTTCACTGATTACTTATAATGTTTATTTCTCTTCTAAAAAGGGGAGATGTTGTGAGATAACTTATTGTTCATATGAGGCTACCGTAGCCAGCGGGGGGCTGGGCGTGATAACGTGATGACGTGACCTCAAGCCAGAAGTTTAGCAGCAGAAGTTACTGTTAGCCATGTGTTGTGTGCTGGTGAAATAAACGGAGTTACGAAGAACCCGTGTCTCCTTCCTTCCATGACACCGTTTAATTAGTTATTACCTATTACAGACACCGCTAACGGCTAAGAAATAGTAATGTTTGTTCAGTCATTGTGTTCATAGACTTTTCAAACATCAGATTAGTCTAAACGGTGATACAGTGATGTGAAAAATGTGTTTTATATGTGTGTATATATATATATGTACAGTACAGGCCAAAAGTTTGGACACACCTTCTCATTCAATGCGTTTTCTTTATTTTCATGACTATTTACATTGTAGATTCTCACTGAAGGCATCAAAACTATGAATGAACACGTGGAGTTATGTACTTAACAAAAAAAGGTGAAATAACTGAAAACATGTTTTATATTCTAGTTTCTTCAAAATAGCCACCCTTTGCTCTGATTACTGCTTTGCACACTCTTGGCATTCTCTCCATGAGCTTCAAGAGGTAGTCACCTGAAATGGTTTCCACTTCACAGGTGTGCCTTATCAGGGTTAATTAGTGGAATTTCTTGCTTTATCAATGGGGTTGGGACCATCAGTTGTGTTGTGCAGAAGTCAGGTTAATACACAGCCGACAGCCCTATTGGACAACTGTTAAAATTCATATTATGGCAAGAACCAATCAGCTAACTAAAGAAAAACAAGTGGCCATCATTACTTTAAGAAATGAAGGTCAGTCAGTCCGGAAAATTGCAAAAACTTTAAATGTGTCCCCAAGTGGAGTCGCAAAAACCATCAAGCGCTACAACGAAACTGGCACACATGAGGACCGACCCAGGAAAGGAAGACCAAGAGTCACCTCTGCTTCTGAGGATAAGTTCATCCGAGTCACCAGCCTCAGAAATGGCAAGTTAACAGCAGCTCAGATCAGAGACCAGATGAATGCCACACAGAGTTCTAGCAGCAGACCCATCTCTAGAACAACTGTTAAGAGGAGACTGCGCTAATCAGGCCTTCATGGTCAAATAGCTGCTAGGAAACCACTGCTAAGGAGAGGCAACAAGCAGAAGAGATTTGTTTGGGCCAAGAAACACAAGGAATGGACATTAGACCAGTGGAAATCTGTGCTTTGGTCTGATGAGTCCAAATTTGAGATCTTTGGTTCCAACCGCCGTGTCTTTGTGAGACGCAGAAAAGGTGAACGGATGGATTCCACATGCCTGGTTCCCACTGTGAAGCATGGAGGAGGAGGTGTGATGGTGTGGGGGTGTTTTGCTGGTGACACTGTTGGGGATTTATTCAAAATTGAAGGCACACTGAACCAGCATGGCTACCACAGCATCCTGCAGCGACATGCCATCCCATCCGGTTTGCGTTTAGTTGGACGATCATTTATTTTTCAACAGGACAATGACCCCAAACACACCTCCAGGCTGTGTAAGGGCTATTTGACCAAGAAGGAGAGTGATGGAGTGCTGCGGCAGATGACCTGGCCTCCACAGTCACCGGACCTGAACCCAATCAAGATGGTTTGGGGTGAGCTGGACCGCAGAGTGAAGGCAAAGTGGCCAACAAGTGCTAAACTCCTCTGGGAACTCCTTCAAGACTGTTGGAAAACCATTTCAGGTGACTACCTCTTGAAGCTCATGGAGAGAATGCCAAGAGTGTGCAAAGCAGTAATCAGAGCAAAGGGTGGCTATTTTGAAGAAACTGGAATATAAAACATGTTTTCAGTTATTTCACCTTTTTTTGTTAAGTACATAACTCCACATGTGTTCATTCATAGTTTTGATGCCTTCAGTGAGAATCTACAATGTAAATAGTCATGAAAATAAAGAAAGCGCATTGAATGAGAAGGTGTGTCCAAACTTTTGGCCTGTACTGTATATATATATGTATATTTCTCTCTATTCTTCCAGTGTTATTTTATTTTATATTATTTATGTATATGTATATTTAACAGTGCTGTGTGTGATATGGAACTTCAATTTCCCTGAAGGAACTTCCCAAAGGGATTAATAAAGTCATGTCTAAGTCTAAGTCTAACCCTGGGACCCCCTAGCAGGTGCCGGGTCTCGTATCCTTCTCACCTTTTTCACCCCTGACCCAATTTCATGACTGAACTTAGTGAAATGAACATAGTTCTCCTTTTACTGCTGATACTTGAACTACATGAAGCTGAGAATACTTCTGTACAGGACCTTTACTTGTAATAAAGATTGTGTGTGTGTGTGTGTGTGTGTGTATTTGTGCTGGTACGTTTACTTAAGAAAATAAATAAATATTTATTTATTTTTACTTAAGAAAATAAATAAATATTTATTCCTCCACTAAATTAAACTTTGTGAATGTATAGGAAAGGTTAAAGTCATAGAAGCAATTTTCTTCTAAATGTCTCACTAAACTTTGTAACTCAGTAAACTCAACAAGAAACAAAAAAAGTTTTTGTGAACAACTCCAGATGCAAAGCTGTAACCTTTCATGTAAACTCAAGCACATATGAAACAATGAAAAAATACTGTATGTCAGCTGTAACCTCCAGCTAATATAGAAGCAAAGTGTCAGGATGTAATGATGAGGGTTAATAGAGATACAGTGACTCATCAATCAGAGCTATCATTGATGTACAGGTGATAAGTCAGTGATGAGCAGGTGGACGGACAGTGCCTCTGACTCAGAGTGTGTGTGTGTGTCTGTGTCTGTGTGTCCACTTAGGTCTGTTTGTGGGGAAAGAAGGTCCAATGATACACAGTGGAGCCATTGTGGGAGCTGGTCTTCCTCAGGTACCCCGCCACACAACCTCAACGTTACATCAACAATCAGTGACATGAACACTGATTTTTACAGTTGAATGTACTGCTTATGCTGAGATTCTATTTATTTTTATGCTTATGCATGTCTGAAATGACAGTGTCAAGATGTTAGGGTTCATGTGTCTGATTTTATATGTATACAGTATATATAACCTTTTTTTAACCATGGATGATCCCACTGACAATCCAACTCCCATTTGCACTTCACAAAGATAGCAGCATTACACTTTACATATACACAAAACAAAACACTACAATATATTACAGAGCTACTAAATGAAATATAAACAGAGCACCAATCTATTTGAACTCTTCTGCGTACAGGATTTGAAAATATCTGACCTTGGCATCTCTTAAAGGAAAGGCTCACAATTTTTCAAGCGTGTTACCTACTGTGGATGTCAGTCAGCACACCCCTAGTTAAGAGAAGCAGGCAGGAGTGCTGCACAGAAGCTAAGCAAGTCATGCTGTAAACGAGGGCAATAGCAGGATATGTTTTAACCACCTAAAAAAAAAAATAAATAAAAAATCAGTATAAGTTTAAGTATACACAGTTTTTTTTTTTTGGACTATCCAATCAACAAGTTACATTCCTTTTTTTCAATATTTTATATGTTGATATTTTATATATTGATAAGTCACAGTCTGAAAATCACCCTTTCTCTTAAAGAAAGGGTGATTTTCTCCATACAGTGAATTTCATAAATAATTGCAATCCAGTCGTTCTTTTAAGGGGGGTTTGCCTGTAGCCACATCCGTGTGATGGCTTTCTTGTTCTTGGGGCAGCAGTAGCTCAGTCCATAGGGCCTTGGGTTGGGAACCGGAGGGTCGCCTGTTCGAGTCCCCGTCCGGACCAAATATGGAGTGTGGACTGGTGGCTGGAGAGGTGCTATTTCACCTCCTGGTCACTGCCGAGGTGCCCTTGATCAAGGCACCGAACTCCCCAACCGCTCTTGGCGCCTGACCAAGGCAGCCCCCTCACTCTGACATCTCTCCACTTTGTGCATGTATAGGTCCTGTTTGTGCATGTGTGTGTCTTTCGGACCTGTGTGTAATTGACAGCAAGAATGAAAAAATTGAACTTCCCCTCAGGGGAAAAAAAAGTACTTACTTCGTAAAGGTATTCATCCTGGCTCATGAGGTTGTCCATGGTTTTGCCCAAGTACAATATGACAAAAGAGTCATCAACTTTTTTCCAAAGATGTTCCTTATGTCTTTGGAAATCTCCTGCCAATATGGATAGACTAGTAAGTAGGGCTGGGCAATATGACCAAAATCTCATATCCCGATATAGACGATTTGTGTATGCCGCCATCTTGCGGCGGTGCCATTGCTGTGGTGATGTTAGATGGTGGCCTCCGGTAACTGACGAAGGTATCTTAAATGAGTACCGATATTAATATAGAAATTCATCATTTGTTTGAGCGATAAGCAGGAAAGATTAGAGTAATAGGGAGATAATAGACTGTATCATTAAACACTGTGTAACATAACATTAGCATACGTTACGTGTGCTGACGTTAGCAAGCTAGCAGCGTGACATTTAATCATTATGGACAGGCTACGTGACTAAAAACAACAACAACACGTGTTTGTGTTTTGTTTTAGGTATTCAAGAATATTTTATTGATCGCCTGGCCTCCGTTGACCAGAAAAATGGCAATTACAGGTCTCTGATTGAGGGTCAAAATTACCTGAGCTCCAGATGGGTCGGGCAAATTTTACACCGCCTTTTAGACAACCATCGCATCATATTGAAGGCGATGAATATTGAACGCCTTCAGTATGATGTGATGGTCACATAGCCTGTCCATAATGATTAATTGTCACGCCTTCATCAGTTACCGGAGGCCACTGTCCAACATCATCAATCCAGCTATTCATGATGCTGTCATTGTAGAGAGTAAGTTCACAATGACAGCATAATGAATTGATGACTGACACGTCACCGCAGCAATGGCGCCGCCGCAAGATGGCGGCATACACAAATCGCTCGCCGAATTCGTCTGTAGGTGATTTCATATCCCGATAACGATACTTATCCCGATATAGCACATTTTAATCCAATGAATAAAAATACAGCCAGCCAGAATTAGAATTAGCGAGAATAAAAAGTGAGTGAAGAGAGGGAGCGCTGGCAGTGAGAAAGCTGGTGAATCAGATCAATGAAACGTCCAAATGACGAAAAATATTGCAGTAAAAAGTGTAATTTGCGTCACAGCGATGTAAGCGATAATAAAATATGAAACGATAGACATTTTTCTCTCGTCACACGATATATATCGTCATATCGCACAGCCCTACTAGTAAGCATTCCCAAAAAATATGAAAGTGGTCTGCACTGATTTACCACACAGCCTCCATCATTCATCCCGCCCCTGAGATCCCTGTTGTAGAAGTTTCAATTTTGGAGTCACAAAATATCATTGTATGTTTTTCTTAGCAGAACTCCCTCTCTCCAGGATCTTGAATTAGTGGTCCTAGCTTGACCCCCCAAGTATTATTCCAATCATCCTCAGATGTTTCCAGGCCCAATTCCCTCTCTCATTTCTGTTTGACCCTGACAGTGGAATCATTTTTGGAGTTTTGTAATCTGTTATATATTTATGATACAAGATGTTTGGTGTCTTTATTCTTATATACAGCAGTGAGTATATTGCCACCAGATTCCTTTGACAAAAACAGTCATTTTACTCACAGAAAACGGGAGCTGCTGGTCTACCGCTGACTCTATCAGTTAGTTAGTTTGTGCTTTTGTGTGACTTTGGTTTTATTTTTAAGGGTTAGTTCTGATTCCTCGAAATCACACAATAACACTAACTAACTGATAGAGTCAGTGGTAGACCAGCAGCTCCTGTATTCTGTAAGGTAAAATGAGGTAAAAAATTTTTATCAAACGAGTCTGGGGGCTTCAGTTCCCTGTCAGAAAGGGCTGTTTGGCGGCAAGGTAAAGTGGTGAAAATATTCTCAATGTACTGTCCACTTAAACAAGGCTGACCAGAAATACCCTTTTTTCTGGCAATGGACCCAGTTTTTGCTGGCCTTTCCATGGCTGGAGCTGTCCCCAGAAATGTCCCTGTTTTTGACTGCAAGGCTGCCAACTCTCAAATGACTGTGATACTCAAGCAATTGAGACTTTTTACGTGTTATCATGCCACATGTCTATGGGTAGATCATGAAACAATTTGCAAAAGGCCCAACCACCTCACCTATATAAGAGCAAGGCACATTGCTATGTCTATTTGTTGATTTGGGTTTTTATTTTGAGGATGATGATGATGAGGATTATTTAAAGTCTCTTAATAGTCATTATGCATCTTTTTTTGTGGTAATTTTGTATGTGATTATTTTTGTGTGTCTTTGAGACCATTTTGTGAGTACACATAATACACAGTACAAATATTTAAATTAGAATAGAATATAAATGATAAAATAGTCAATAAAATAGAAAAAATATATAAAAATTGCACTCTAGGAAAAACTAAAAAGGATATATATACTACATATATAGTACCCAATTTTATCAATTGGTCTGTACCATAGTTTATTACAGTGCAACAGTTACCATTTCTAATGAAACATGTATTGTCCTCATCTTATATTTCATAGATAATAACATTGAATATTTGAATGATATTGACTGACAAGCTGGAAATGTCCCCAGCTGTCATTTCCAAAATCTTGCCACCTTAACTTAAAGTGATACTGATTTCTGTAGGTGGCTAAAATACATTTTGTTGCCGACCCCTCTACAGCAGTACATTGTTTAGCTTCTGTGGTGATGCTCCTGCCAAGAGACACCTACTATAGGTAATACACTGACTCTGGATAAGTACCTCATACAGCTCCACTTCAAAAGATCTGAATTATCCCTTTTAAACAATAGTCTGGCGCACACATGTACATTGAAACAGGGTTTGCTTGCTGTAGTCATTCCTCTTTTTTATACTGGCCATTGAAAGATTACCTCCTAATGCATTTTGATTGTAAAAATTATTGACTATGAAATGGTCCAGCCACTCATGCATTTGACTTGTATCATGGCTTAAGCATGTTCATCAGATGTTTTATCCCTCTATCAGTTTCAGAGCATCACTTTCAAGAGGATCAAATTCGATTTTCCATACTTCCGCAGTGACCGGTATGGCTGCGGTACACTCTTATTACCAAAACATTGTACACTGTTCATTGCTTCCCTTCAGCTCAGAATATGTGGCAAATATTGTCAAACATAGCTTATTGTGTTGGCTTAACTGTTTTTCAGGGACAAGCGAGACTTTGTGTCAGCGGGTGCTGCGGCTGGAGTAGCTGCTGCCTTTGGTGCTCCTATAGGTGGCATACTCTTCAGTCTGGAGGAGGGGTCCTCGTTCTGGAACCAGGCCCTCACTTGGAAAGTGGTATGTTACCTTATTCAGTAAACACAAAAAGGGACTCATTAGTTTGCGGCCACACTAGCAGTGCAAGTGTCACTAAAACCCTGTTTTCACCAAACACTTTCGGAGTAGTACCTTTGGAACCTAAAGTAACCCTTCAGACATGGTACTAGACCCTAGGTCTGTTTAGCATTTCCACTGCAAACAGTACTCTTAAATGTGTGTGTGTGTGTGTGTGTGTGTGTGTACTTGAAGATCCACTCATTACTAAAAGTCAGTGTCATCTAAGAAAGACAATATAAACTAATTGAATGGTCAAAGTTGTTATATTGAAATTTAGGTGTACTGATGGATTCAATTCGTCAACTCATGCATCGAGTAACATTACAGTAAACATTACATCTTAAAAGTTGACGTCAGTCAGCCCAGTGAGTCAAATTATTTTTTTCTCAGTCTACAGCTGCTGCAAGAGGCAGCAAACATCCTTTCATTCTATAGTTACAGTTTACTGATGTATGTACGACTACTTCAGTATGAACAGTGGTTACATAAGCTTCAAAACCAGCCACAACTCAGTCTTGAGCAAGAGTGACAGTCCTCTATTGTCCAATCAATGGACTGCAGTGTGTCTAGTTCCACCTTTTAGTTCCAGATCTGTGTGCTAGGTACCCCAACAGAGGAGTGACCAAAAATGGGGACAGTAAGGAACAGTTCTTCTGGTACCAGCCACAACTTTTCATGGTGGAAACAGAAAAAATGTGTACCAAACTGAATTGAACTGTACCAGACTGCTTGCTGGAAACATGGCTTCAGTAAGTATGCAGAGGTTAAAGGTCAAGAACAGTGGGCAGCCATCAGTGGATATCACTAATACTTGAAAAGGCCAAACTAGGGGTTTCCTCTATCAGCCCACTGCCTCAGTCTGTCAGTGAGAAGGCTGGACTATACAGTTACACCATACATAGCATGAAGTACTTTTCTCAGCTCCTCTGTTTCATTTTGTTTTAGCTCTTCTGTTCCATGTCGGCCACTTTCACCCTCAACTTCTTCCGATCTGGGATCAACTTCAACAAGTGGGGCTCCTTCCAACTGCCTGGTCTGCTCAACTTTGGAGAATTCAAGGTAAAGAGTCGCTAAAAGGGGATTTATGGTTGCGCGTAGACTCTATGCATGTAGCCTACGCATGTCGCTATGCCGTTGTGAACATTTTTACTTCTGCAGTGGTGCGTCACTCTGCAGTTACACCTCTAAAACACAAGTTGGCGGCAGAGGTTTCTGTGAAGCGCTGTTAAATTTAGTTAACACACACCCAAAACACACATTAAACATGGCTTAACAGAGACAGTTTGAAAAACAATGACACAAATTGGCTTCACTACAACTCACATTTTCCCCACAAATACAACATGCTAACGTTATTAGCACAAGCCAATGGCATTTTACATTGTATAAATTAGCCTAGCAACTAGCGATCTTTTCAGCATATACATAACAACAACATATAGGTAACAAAGGTAACGGCAAACAGTTTGGCCCATTACAACTCACAAGGTTCACTGACAAAGCAACTGTCCTGTACTAAACACGTTTTCCAAACAAATACAAAATGCTAACATTATTAGCACAAGCTTATGGCATTTTACAACGTATTGATTAGCCTAGCAGCTAGCAATCTTTCCCTCTTCTCATGTGAAACCTGGATAAATCCCAAAATATAAATCCCTGAAGGATAAGTCACACACAAGACTTAAAATGCTATTTTAGTGGAGGCCTTACTGTCTTCACAATTTATTGTTTCTTATCTGTGAACTTAAAGTAAATACAAGCTCCGTTTCCACTGAGGGAAATGGTGTCAGTATTAGGCTTGAGGACATGTCATCACAACATCATGCCCCGCCCCCTTTGGGCCCCCTTCTGCCATTTTGAAAGCAAACCACCAGAATCGGCTTGTTGTGATCAGAAGTTATTGTGTTCCCGATGCGATCAATGCAGCCTAAACATCTCTTTAGCTTCCATCCCTGCCAGACATTTACAATCAACAGACAGTGCACACATAGAGCTTCTAAACATCATATAAAGGACCCCTCACACCTCTTCCACTGCCTGTTTTCCCCCATGAAATCAGGGAAGAGGTCCATCCGCAGACAGCCAGACTCCTCAAGCCCGAGCACATATGCCCCCCCCACAGCTGTCATAATAAATCACTTCATTACACGGACGCACTTTATCCTAGATTATTTATTAAGCCTATTAAATGCACTTTTAATTTTATTTAATTGTCTTGGAAAGAGAATTTTGTTTCCTTATGTATGAAAATACATAAGTGAAATGACAAAGAAATCAATCAATCATGATCACAACAGCCTCCTCTGTTCACAACGCAAACACAACACCGCTATTCAGACAACATAGAAGGTAGGCTAGCTCAAAGGTGGAGGGTGTAACCTTACCTTTGCAAGCACAACTGTGTTTTCACAGTTTTGGGGCTGGTATATGGACAGGTCTTTCACCCAGCTGCAGCAGAACTGCTCGTAGCTTTCCAGCGATTTGTAGCTCTTGTATTCTTGCATGGTGTTGTAACTAACTCCAAAAACGAGGTAATTCACTATGTCCATAAATTTGGAAGACGGTAAACGGTTCGGGTCGCTGTTCCATTCCGCTGCAGGCAGCTTGTAAGGGTCAAGGTTATTTCTTTCTTTTAGTTTTCTAAATACCTCTTTCTGGAGTTTTTCTTTATATGGAATCTTTTCTTTCACTTTATTTTTCTCCATTTTTCCTTATTTCCCTTATTTTCTCGAAATGTATCCATCTGAAAACCTATTTCCCATCCGCTGTCTCTGCAAAATGAAATTCATTCTTTTCTGTCACCAATTAATGCTAAACAACATAAATCTGAAGTATAAAATAGATCAAAATATATACGGTGTGCACTGTTTTAACGTCTCCTTGCTTAGTGTAATATTAATGTTTTTTTTTTGTTTTTTTCTGTGAGCGTTTGGTCGCTATGAAGACTGTTAAGAGTGGGTCAGCTCGATCTTACAACATCCTCTTAAGCTAAGAGCGATCTGGGAAACACGGCTATTAAAATAAATACTACATTTCTAACAGTATCTGAGCTGATTTATGGACACAGCATGCTTGTAGGCTGCTGTAACGTTGGTTTACATTTACAGGTTTACAGAGGAAATAACGGGAAATAACGGGATGTGACTTAATCGGGTGAAAATATCGTTAGTGAAACAGAAACAAGCTTTAGTTAGGGGACAAGAGCCAAGAGTCACAAAGACTCACATATGTTAAAAGTTACTTACAACTGGTGTATTTACTGTATGTGTCCGGGGTCCTTTGCCTGTGGAACGAGTAACACCACTAACTTCTCCCTAAACGAACGCATGTTTCTGTTAGGCCTATGTGTATCACTAATGTTCTTTATGTATTATGAAGAATGTCAGACTGGCCAATCAGTGGCAGAGTTGGGCCCAGAGTCACAAATAATGCATTTCGACTGACACAGAACTGGCACGGTGCCGTTTCCCGAACCTAATTAAGTAGGCTACTTACAATGGCATGAAAGACAATAATAACAACGCTACAGTTTAAAAGGAGATCTCGCCAGCTTTATACAAGTTTACGTTGGTCACCGATCAATGCGGGCATCTAAGAGGAAGTGACAATGGTGGCTCATGGGAATCCAAAACGTTATTGCAAGGGAATGCAAAACTATTGCGAGGGAACTCAAAAGTATTGCGAGGGAATGCAAAAGTATTGTGAGGGAACGCAAAATTTATTGCGAGGGAGCGCAAAAAGTATTGCGAGGTAACACAATGTATTGCGAGGTAAAGCAAAAGTATTGCGAGGGGACGCAAAAGTCAGTCCAAAAAAATCTCCCAACTTGACCTTTAAGGGGCTCCGTACAATTACTATACTATCACTATTAAATATTTATTGATTACAGAAACTGCAACATGCGTCACCTCTTGTGTCAGAGGCTACCATCTGAGATTGTGTGTTTGAATCGTTCCAATTTGGATTTCATACACAACACAGCACACACTCAAACAGCCCTTCTCAGTCACCAACAACCTTCTTCTTTGCTCAGACTCTTCATTGCTGCTAATTACAAAAACAAAAAAATTACATTAGTGCAATGTAACGTGGTAAAAAACGGTGACAAATTAAACAAATGACTATAAGAGATGCAGGTGTAACAAAATATATACAAAGACAGCACAAAACATGAGGACTTAAAAAGCTTAAAACAGCATTTTCCCCATGTAAGTAGTAAAATGTATTAAAAGTAAATGAAAAGATATAAATAAATGGAAAGTTGTAACGGTGAATAAATAAGAAAATTAAGAGAAATAAACAGCAATGAATCAGTAGCAATTCTTAAATTATTTGGGAAAAGACAGAAGAAAGAGAAAAGGATTGCATATGTGTGTGGATATGATTTGTGTAAAGTCACAGTAATGATAATGATATTCATGTCATAGAAAACTGACAACGCATCTCAAGGGTATGGAGGAGTGAGTGATGTAAAAATATTGGTAATATTAAATAGTTATTGTAGGTGAGATCAAGGTTCAGTTGTATAGCACACAGTTGTGTTTACTATTACCCTTTTTCCACACTAATGTGCTGGCTTGGTTTGGTTTGACTCAGCACATCAGCCCAGTGCGGCAAAGGTTACTATTTTCAGTACGGGGCTATCTGCTTGAAGGTGGGTCTGTAACTGATGATGGCTCGTTTTGGCTGATAATGTTTTAGAGCGGCGGGCTGATCCACAGCTAAAGTCTCATGTTATTTTTCGGCAAGTGTTTTTCCATCATTACTTGTTGGAGGTGAGCTGTTTGCAGAGGTGCAGTAAGAGCCTGCTGTCTGCAGCTCTTCACATCTCACTGTCTCTGTGCCTGCTTTACTCTTCCTCCCTGTGGTATTATTGTTTATTGACTTGTTTTTCTTAAAGAAAAGCTGCTAACAAAGTACTGCTAAATCGGCGATTAACACATTTCATTTCCTATAGACTCTTCACAGTAAAAGTCCCCCTATTATGTTGTTATGTAAAAGCTTTTATTGTGAAGCAGTAAAATAGGGAAATGTGGGGTTTTTTTTCCAGCAGCAACATATCAGAATCCTGTACAGCTGAAAGCAAACATGAAACAGGAAAATAAAGCAGACAGCTAAAGTAAAAACAGGACGTACAGTCAGGGAATATTATCAGATATTTGGCCAATCTGGGAATAAATTCCTCACCAAGAACTTTCTTCACCAAAGTTTTTTTAAATCAGTCAATCAATTTTATTTATAAAGCCCAATATCACAAATCACATCCCTCTGTCCTTAGGACCCTCACAACGGATAAGGTAAAACTCCCCCCAAAAAAACCTTTAACGGGAAAAAAAAATGGTAGAAACCTCAGGAAGAGCAACTGATCCCTCTTCCAGGACGGACAGATGTGCAATAGATGTTATACAGAACAGATCAACATAATAAATTAACAGTAATCCGTATGACACAATGAGACAGAAAGAGAGACAGAGACAGAGAGAGATGCAGGACAGACAGTAATGACAGTAGCTTACAACAACATTAATTAAAGTAATAATATTATTTTTCTAATTACGGCTATTGTGGTACAATATGTTGAAAGTATATATTAATATCTGATAGTATACATATGTGACAATAATCATGTGTATGATAACAGTAGAAGTATGACTAATGATAACAGCAGCAGGAGGCATCAGGCAGGACCACAGCAGCAGCACAACCACACACATCACACCATCCAGGCACTGCTGTGATACTGTACGAGTTCACCTGCGAGACAGTGGAGCACAAAGGCTCCAGAGAAGAAGTCGAGTTAGTGACATGCAGTACAGCCGAGTTAGCGAGATGCAGTAACAGGACATGAGCGTTAGCAAAGGAGAGAAGGTGCTCGGTGTATTATAGGAGGTCCCCTGGCAGACTAGGCCTAAGTCAGCCTAACTAGGGGTTGGTACAAGGCAAGCCTGAGTCAGCCCTTACTATAAGCTTTATCAAAAAAGGAAGTCTTAAGTCTAGTCTTAAATGTGGAGACGGTGTCTGCCTCCCGGACTGCAACAGGAAGATGATTCCACAGG